TAGGCCGGCCTACCGCCTAATTCGAGCGCGTGGCAAGATGTGATCGCCCGGCGATCGATATTGCTATGCGCACATCTCGCCACGCGCTCGAATTGGGCGGTAGGCCGGCCTAAGACAACGATTTTTAATAATTAATTACTCGTTAACTATTACGAAAATTGCAAAATGGTACAGGACTTTTCCGTTCATCTCGATCCGTTCTACCTTCTCAAAAATTTTGTCGGATATGGAAAGACTCACCCTGTATATGCAATAGATGAGAAATAAAAAAAATACCGATACACAAGTAACGATGTTTCGACAAATGCAGGAATAATATTTTGGACACACTTTGTAAAAACCTGTCAAGTTAAAGCTGGAAAATATTAGAAGCTATATCTGCATTTTTTATTTTGTACATCCGCAACGTTGAGTCCGCATTAAAAAGTTACGCATTTAAAAATAAATCCGTGTAATTCAATTTGACGAAAAATGAGATACTATATCTTGCTTCTAACATTTTTCAGATTTAACTCGACCGTTTTACAAAGCGTGTCAGAAAGGTTATTCCGCTTGTCAAAAATTTTCACTTTCGTATCTGCATATTGTTTTTATCTCCATGTGTATCCACAGACGTAAATATTGAGCGTAGCGCGAGAAAGTGCAGTAATCCCCGAAAGCCGCGATAAGATACCGCTTTTCCAAAAATAGCAATAAAGTCCTCGTTTTATTCCAGAATGCGCGCTCTTTATTCGTCAATAAATTCATGATAAAGCTGAAATTACGAGCGATTGAAGTATATGGAGCGTATGCACGCGGCATAATTCTGTAATCGATCTTGAATTATTGAGTGGAAGTAAAACTGTAGGGCGGAATAATATCGGCGAGGATTTCATCGCGGGCAGCAAGATAGAAATCGGCTTTAATTAATTTCATTATGCGCTCATCGCCGGATGACCGGAACCTACCTTCCCGGGACGGGGGGGGGGGGACGGGCGGTGGGTTTGAGGCAGCGGGGCAAAAATGCAACACCACCCTTTTTAATTAATAAATGTCATTTATGAGGCGGATACCCGTCCGTTACTCCGATTGATGCTATTCAAGACCCGACAAGTTTTCGCTCGGCGTCCCGCTCTCTGTGTTCGACGTCACGTTGGAATACGTTCTCGCGAATAATTACCGCGATCCGCAAATGGACGTGCGCAAATTACTTTAAAAGAACGACGAAGATAGATCGTTTCCGTACGGATATTTTCGGTCCATACAACTTGTGACGCTTATCGCCGCCCATATCACGCCGTAAATCAAGCAACTTCCATAATGTATGGTCCTATAAATACAATAGCCAAAGCCTCCGCGATGGCTGTACGCAGCAACATTTACCATTACCGATTTGCACGGCGCTTCCAGTATCCACAAAACCATCGTTCGCGGTCATTTTGCGCCGTTATCGACAATCGCCTTACTCGCGCGTCTATAAATTCTCAGTCACATCGCGTGCAACGTACGGGGTATAGCGTAGTCGAGGGCAACGCAATGGATCCGCAATTTTCCCCGGGTTCAACGCACCCCGGATGAATATCTTTATCCGCGCGGCTGCTGGAAAATTCAGAGGGGACACGCGAATAATAGTACACGACGTACCTTGACGAGTGTTAAGTCCCCAATTGCCAATACTCGTCAAATATCGAAGACAATGATTCCCATTCAGTATTACGTCTATCTTGAAATAATTGTAACTTCTCGCTTTGGAATGAATTTTCAAAATACATTAAGCACACGCCAATCTCTCCCATTACATGTCATACTGAGATTATGCTAAAATTACTGTGACTTTAAAGCACATAAAATAGAACGACAGTCGAGATAATAATATTAATTATAATATACCTTTAGCGATATTCATTTTTAATATCTTTAATGTTAATAATTCTATTAGTATTTCATTCGAGTGATGACAAGGATACGGATTCTAAAAACTGTTCGGTGTCGGAAGCAAGAAGTCGATATTTCGATGGTATACGTACTTCAACGCTCTGTATAGAGCCGCGGCGACAATTTTCTGAATAACTTCAATTCCGCGTGCGCGAGCCAAGTGCGCGCCGATGATGTATCGCTTTATAACAAAGAGGATTTATCAACGTCAATTTGGCGTGCAGGAAGGTACGCGTCTTGCGGCCAGCGACCCGCTATAACGAAGAAACGAGCGGCGGTCGAGGGCAGCCGGGCGGTTAATTTTACTCGCGCCGTTATCGCGGGGACGTTAGAACAACGAGTGGGGTTAATTAATTGCGGACCTTTTTTAATTTGTCTTGCTAGACGCTAGGATTACCGCGAAATTTTTAAACCGATACATCCAGTCGAGAAGTGGAAGCGGTAAATTGGAGACACTTTGTTGAAATGCGAAAGGGGACCTGGGAGAAATTTATTTAACTCGGAAAAGTCTGCGGTGATAAAGAAATGTGGTGATAAAGCGCGTGAAAAAAACTCACCAGGGATAAGAAGAGACACTTATATTGAATAATCGAAATTATTTTGTTCGGCTTAATCTTTGGCACGAGCTTGTACGATGGCTCACGTGTACGAAAACGATCTGCAAACGCTTATTGCTAAGTCGCCCAGAGGAATACTTGAATCATCCTGAAAAAGAGCGCAAGATGGGACGCAAGATTAATTGTCCCCGCTCTAAATTAAGTTATTCACTTTGTTATGGTACCTGAGCTATCGCGTGGCAAGATACATGGCGCGTGATAAAGTAGTAAGAGAGCGGAAAAGAGAGAGCGCGCGCGAGAGAGCGGTAGGATTAATGAGGAGAGGGAGAGTTTATGATCCCACGCTTAAAATTCGTCACACCGGTACGACTGCAAAGAGGTGCGGGAGCACCTGAAGAGACCTCCCGATTCGGTGTCTTGTCCGTGCCGAATATTTGCCAATCCAATCTAGTCTAAGCGACACTTGATACTCTTTTCTTCTTTTACTCACTGTTGCAATGTTTAATATAATAATAAAAGTGGTATTTTAAGTCTTCATCACTTAAATTAAATTTTGTGAAACGGTTGAGTATTTTCGCAAACATTTTGCCACATGATAAGAGACGTCGGGTGTTATTTAACCAATGTATTGAATAATTTTCAGTCAAACCGTTGGAGGTGAAAATAATTGACGGAAACCGACCGCTGTCGGCGGGCAAGAAGTACGACTTGGTCTGCACAACTTCCGGTTCCAGGCCACCGGCCGGTGTCACCTGGTGGAGGAACGGTCAGCGCTTAGTGGATTCCAAGGAGACCGTAAGTGTGTTCCTTGATGGAACAATTTTCGTCCTTGCGCCAACATACATTCCACTCTACTCTCCAGCTACTCTCGGCAGCGCATAAACTCGAATTTGCAGTCTTAGATAAGAGAGAATCCCTTGATCCTTTTATCAAGGATATGATATTAATGCATATTCATGCGGATAGTTAACTCTTTCAAATAGAGAAATGGAAAGCGCACTATTTCTTGCCGAAAATATACTATAAGTCCATTTGATTATGTCCTGTGATAATGCGTTGCTCTCCTGATTATTCTATCACTTTAAATGCAAACGTGAAGAAATGTTGTAATAGCCAAGTTAAATTATCCGCATAAACGCCAAGTTGAGCTGTAATACTTTATCGTCTATGCTCTCTAATACATTAAAAACGCATCTGTCACCGCTGGAAAGTTTTCTCCTATGCGTGTCTAAACTTTCGGAATTTTTCTCACATATTTGCTGTATATTTACTGTGTTTTCGCCACACTGTGGAAGATATCGCGAAAGTTTTGGAGAGACTTTTTCTTCTATTTAATTTATATTTAAGAACTTGGGGAAAATACATTTTTTCCCCGCGTGATATACGAATCGGATGGTACGAGGGACATGTAATTATATCTTTTTCAATTAAAATTTTTCGGTCGCCTGTCATTGACAATGGTTAAATATCGGATTAATCTCTGCATTAGCGAAAGACGATTAATCTCCCGCTGTGCCTCGACTCATCTGGTTGACATGTGTCTCCTAATTTCGTGGGGCTGCAATTTCCACGTTCAATTTCCGCGGATTAAGCGACGCCAAAAAAGACATAGGCCGATTACGTGATTGACTGCCGTTTACGGTGAAGTGTGCCGTACAGGGATTACGTTCTAATTGACGGGAAATAAAACTATCTTCGAACTATATCACGTCGAAACGTAGTCTCGGTGTCTCGTGACGTTGAGATGAAAGGGTGCGCGGCGCGCAAATGATTTAATGAGATCAAACATTAACGATAACTTCCGACGCATTATCCACTTACAGCTGTAAGCGAAACTGCCCACAGCTAGTTTTTCGTAAATTAATCTCCTGCTTTTGTCCTCGCGCTTTTGTTTATTAATTTTTTCTATTGCATTAGAGAAGTTTTAACACAATTGCTCCGTGACGTGATACTAGCGTAAGTGACGCGTTGGTCAATAATTGAAGCTTTTTTCTTTTTCTCTCTTTCTCTAGAAAGAAAAAAAGTACTGGGCTTAGTATGCCGGCAATGTTGTTTACAACAATTGTTTATTGAACAGTTCGAACAGTTTTGTTCACAACATACGAAATTCCCTCCATATGAATCTTGCATCGATTCGCCGTGGAATTGAAAATAAAATGAAAAAAAAAGCGCTAGGAACTATTTCATAACGATATTACGGCGTCGAGTCGTACACTGGGTGTGCGTATGTGTGTGTCCCGATAAAAAAGCATAACTTTTCGGGATTAATCAACGACAATAATGAATAAGTACGTCGCGAATATCGATAAATCTAATTACGGCGCGGCACGAATAAAGAATATCTCGCCGGGGCGATTACGATGATACTTGATCCACGGGAATATAACTTCTCTTTCTCGCCCGTTCTCCCGGTCTCTTTCCGCCCCGATACAATTCATTAATTCATTCAATTTCATTCCGAACGCGCGGCGAAATAAATTTCGATTTAACGTAAATCGAACGCTCTAACCGGGTCGCGGCGTTGCCGTCGCGAGAAACGGATGAAGGTATTTCGTATACAAAGCAAACAAACGTCAATGGGAACGCGGATTAGCGAACGAAATGAAAGAACGTACTTTCGAATAAATTGACCCGTTGTCGGGCGAAATCGAGCATCGGGCCGCTGTTTATTCTACTTCGATTTCCCCGCGCCCAGTCCCCGATAAAACACATGGGGCGCGCGTATGGGGTTGTCGCGCGGGGGAGGCTGGCGCGCAAACAACGCGACGCGCGTCGTATCCGCCGCGTTTTGATCCGCACTTAAGACGACGACGCAAATATTTGCCGGGTAGCGGCGGATTAAGCACGGCGACGAGGGGGCGCGAAGGGCGAAGGGTCCTCCCGCGCGCCATGCGCGGGACAGAGAAAATATTGTTTCAAAGTCGATACCCCGCGCTAGACGACGCGACACTGGAGATTGTTTCGCTGCTTACGTAAGAAAGTTAAACACAGAAACGTGAAACGGAGGTGGCGCCGAAGGGAGGAAAATACGACAAGAGAGAGAGAGCCCGGTATAATCACACGGCGGAATGTCGACCGAGTTTGTGCGAGGAGGTCCGTCCGCTCCTCTTACTTTCCCCGTAATAATCATGCAGTTTCCCCCTCGGCGAGTTCGCCTCTCGGCTTTGCGCGATTTTGCGCAAAAAAAAATAGCCACCGTGGCGTGAACGAGGGTTGCGCGGGTGTTTTTTTTCCCTTCCCCCCTGCTTCGCGTATCGTATCGCGGAATTGCAGCAATTATGTTAATCGATTCGACCTCCCCGGGACGCGCGGCCGGAAATATATTTTTAATGGATGGCGCATCTCATTTCGTAATTATCTTTGCGCGGCCCACCGCGTGAAACGGCCGCGGAGCTCGCCGCCGCCATCGGAACGAAATTAGAGCGCGAGTCCCCTGCCGTTGATTTATTCCCCCGGCAAGACGCGAAATTTATTATTCGCGCGCTCCCAGCCTCGCGATTATTTTTTAATCGCGCGACAGAATCGCGCGAGCGCGGGGGAGATACACACCCCTTCGTCTCGCAGCATCCCGCGCCCCCGCGCGAGATTGAAGGCTCGGTCGGCGTGTCCACTTTTTCCGGCGCGCAACGGAAAAGTTGAAAAACCGCCCGGAATATTTTGAGATTTTATGAAATATTTTGCGTGATATTTCGTTCAAGGATATGAGTAATGTGGGCGATGCATTTTTCTGACTGCCCCTGCGCTATAATTCCCATTTTATGCGAGGAGCGTAATCCCTAAACTCGGTCCATTGGTCTGAGCGAGCGTTTGCACGAATGTTTAATTCACGAAACGTAAAGCAGAGTTATTACGGGTGTTTCATAATCCATGAACTTGATTTTTCGTAAGCTACGAAACTTCTAAATAACACAAAATTGTGAATTACGCTTGATTTTGGTACCGATATGCTAGTTAAAATATGAGAGGTGCGGAAGCGAGACTTGAATTTTTTGTGTTTTGCGGCAAAGATTAAAAAATGTTAGTCTCACACACACACACACACACAGTGCCAGTGCGAATATATTATCAGAATTTTATTTTAATAGAGATGTGAAATCGACGAAGCGCAATATAAATATTGCTACATAATTTTATCCGACGATAACAGCCGTTCAATAAAGTAGTTTACACTTTAATGTCAAGAAAGAAAAAAGTGTATTTCGCGTCTCTTTCCCTTTGTAAGAATTGCGGGCAAAATGTGAGCGAAGTGAGAAGGTTTTGGGCAGTATAGACGTGAAAAGCTCACGATTGACGAGGAGTGGAGGAAAATCGTAGCAAAATATGTGTAAGAGCTAAATTGCCTCGCGGAGTAAAGTCAATTTTTCGAAAATTAATTCCTAGTTTTCGTGATATATGGACTGCGCCTTCGACACTTCGGTACTGCTCAAAAAATATTTGCTCGGACAACAAAGGGAAAACAATTCTCGCGCGATTGTTTCGAGGTTGTACATTGATCGATTGTTGTAAAATTGAAACACGCGTTCACCCTCACGCTTTGCTCGGCTTGTTCTCGAATCAAAATCGATAGTAAAAAAAAAAAGAGAGGAGAGAGTTCGCTTTCCGTCATTAATACGCGTTATTTACTCGTTCCCCGGCACTGCTGTCAAACGACGGGCCACTATTTACGGAACGTTAACTGGCAAATAACTCATTTACGAAAAAGTCGGCCCTGCCAGGTTTTTATTCCGCCCTCCCGTGCGCTCGCAGGTCCCTGCGATTGTACGGATAGACAGAGATAAATTTCGGCGATCGTATCGCCACGGAGGGAAGTGGTTAACCGGCCACTCGACGTATCGGGCGTCCATTAAGGCATCGATTCGCCTTAATTACAAGCGCGAATTCGCGGAATCACCCGGCGACGCTCTGATTTAAATTATTCGAACGCCTAACGACCCTTTTACCGGTGGCTCGTACCCGCGATAACGATAATTCTCGCGCCACCCTCGCAATGAGACACACTTGCGCCGTACACGGGACACACGTGCGCAAGAGAGAACCTTATTTTATGGTCACTTTAAGGAGCTGTACGAGCCGTGGTCGAGCTTGCAAATTACATCGAGTGCTCGCCCCCGGACGGTGTAAATCGAATCGGAAGTCCCCCTCGGGCGCGCGGCTTTCCACGAAGGCGCGCGTCTGCTTATTCTTAAGTGTCTACTACTTGAGTTTCGTAGAACGAATCCGCTCTATTAGCGCTTTCAAATCGAACGTTATTATATCCGTAAATATTCTCTGCTCGTACCTTCTAAAATTTCTCGTCGCTTTAGTCTTTAGTTGAAAAAAAAATAATAAAATAAAATTTATGGAAAAAAGTTAGATTGTTAGCTCGTATTTTAAAGAGCAAATTTTTCGTAAAGAATCGTTGCAAGGAACGACATATGACGCGCTTCGTATGAAGTAACCTGGCGGAAAATTGGAAACCTCACTGAAAGAAAATTAGAATTTTCTAGCGAAGGAGTTATAAATTTGCATATTTTTCGAAAACAATTCTTTGATAATTAAATCGAGAGATAAAGCGGTACGTTAAAAAATTATGTCATTCTACGTACCACTTCAAAAGTTTCATCACGCAAGATAAAGTTTCTCAGCCACTGACGGATGCGTTTTTAATATATTAGATAAAAAAAGGACAAGCAAGTGTGCGCGATATGAACCACCTAGGAAAATAAGGCAGAACGCGAGGTCCTTTATTTACCGCTCGCGCAACTTCGTCACGCGCGGAAATTAATCGGGCACCCGTACGTTAAATAATTCAGTGAAACCCCTAGTCGTAATGACGGTCCGGCCTCCCCCCCCCCCTAAAAAAGGATAAAGGCTTCTTTATTGTTAGAAAATAGGCCGATCCCTCGAGGAGGGTAACGAGAGATTGATCGGGAATTTCGACTATAGCCAGCGCCGACCCTCCAGGTCGAGTGATAGATACGCTTTTAATATATGGGGGGTTGAACGTCGACGCCCGACGATGACAGCGCGGGTGGGCAGGCAAACGATCGTTTCGACGAGGAAAAAAGAGAATAAATGCGACGAGTGTCGGCGGGGGTGGACGGCGGGGCCCCCGCCGTCACTGAACGCTATCATAATGTTGTTACAGATCTCCGTCGATGGGAACACGACCACCAGCGTTTTATCTTTCATGGCGACGAAAGCAGACGCAGGCAGACACTTGTTGTGTCAAGCTGAAAATCGAATCATGGGAACCACGCCGATAGACGACGGCTGGATACTCCAGATACAATGTAAGCTCATAAACGGCGACGGCACCGAATCCGGCAGCGTCCCGACGCGCCGGGGCGCTCTTTCCTTATTTATTCAGACGCCGGGAATCCGGTCGATTTTGACGGTTTATCGAATGCCGTGATTCGCAGACACGCCGGAGACGCAGATCCAGCTCGGCACGTCGCTGAATCCGAACACCATACGCGAGGGCACGGACGTCTACTTCGACTGTCTCATACAGGCCGAGCCGACGGTGTACAAGGTGGAATGGCGACACCAGGTGAGCGAGAACGCAATTTTCTTCGGGACAAAACTATAACCGTTTGTTTTACAACGACCTCTAAATACTTGATACTCTTGAGTATTCCCGAATTCGACGCGGATACTCAATAATTGATGTAATCGTTACAAATCCAATTGCATGGAAACGAAACAGGCGATGGAGAACAACTCCGGAGAATTACGGGCTGTTGGACGGTAAAAACGAGTGGATTCAAGTATTTTCAAATAAATTTTGTAGAAATAATCGGGGGTGCAAAACGTGAAATTACAAACATTTGTTCCGCGAGAGATTTATCTAAAAGTTCTATTCTTAATGAATCAACTTAATTTAACAGTCCAATTAACGCGTCTGCAGCGCTCGCGCGCCAAGTAGAATTTATCATAATTATACCGGGGTTTCTCTCGGTACATCGAAAAATATTCTCCACGGAAGATTTTCTGCAAAAAAGTCAGGATACTCGCGGATCGTTCTCCGGTTTATTCTCACTGTTTATCTCGCAAATATTCCCTCGCTCCGCCACGCTGCGAATTATCATTAATCAATCTCGAAGATGCGTAACAATGTTCGTCGCGAGTAATTCGTTTCCGTATCCCTCTCGCGCTCGGAAAGTTCTAAAACCCGGGGTGTCGTAAACAGATTGGTCTCTCGCCGGCTAACAAGCTCGATTATGCCTGTACTCGCTCGCGCGCCACGCGAGAGCATCGACTTACGTTAAGACCAAATACAAACTTCGACGCTCGAGGCATCAAACTTTTATAATAACTTGCCGTCACCCCGAGCCACGATGAGCGCCCGCTCATCTTCCCGCTCTCGCCTCTGACGAGTGAGATTGTATTGCTGCGATTCACTCACGTTCGCGTGTGTATCACACACATACACACACGTATACACGTGGAAAATAATCCTCGCGCCCAGCGTACAGCCGGAGGTTCAATCTAACGGCGAGAGGCGCCAATTACCGTGTTTCTTTCAGGGCAAGGCACTCCATCACAACATCACGCAGGGTATCATAATCAGCAACCAGAGCCTGGTGCTGCAGGGGGTTGATCGCAAAAGCGCCGGCAATTACACGTGCGTGGGATACAATACCGAGGGCGATGGCGAGAGCTCGCCCTTTTATCTGAACGTGATGTGTACGTATTCTTACATCCGCAGCACTAGTGGTAGAATACTGAATAGGACAGACATCTCTCGCGCGGCGAAGGAGGATGCATTTGCGCGCACCGGAGCGTAAAGTGATTCTAGATATTTTCCAGACCCGATTTCTTATTTCATACCCTACCCCAATCAGTCGTATACCGTAGCGCTTTCGGCAGTTAAACGAAATGAAATGTTATTCAGCAATATCTCGGTACGTAGTTAGTGCCTATCGATTTCAATTTGTCATTCGGATTAGACCTAAGTATAGTACGAAATCCCCTCAACCGAATCCTCGACGCAGCCAAGTAATAAGTCGAGTTTACTTATCATATGTCAACGTATAATAAAACGTATAGAAGTTAATGCTTATCGATTTTAATCTGTTAGTTGGATTATTGCAGTCCTAAATACAGTACTAAGCCCTCTCGAGGCAGCTAAATGTTCGGGTTATTTATCGTGCTAAGAATACGGGTGATAACGAGACGACGATACCAAGACCGCAACGAAAGCGTATTTGCTCGATCGGCTTTAACTAATAATGGATTATAATGAGCCAAGATTTGGTACTCCCGTAAATTCCCAACTGTGAAATTTTAATTCCTGGCTTATACGCGTATAGGTATACGTTCCCTTGCGAATTGCATGCGCAACATTATCAGGGCGCCCAGCTGTTTATCCGTTTGCGCGCAGATTACCGGACGCGATATATCGACATTCGGATCGCAATAGTTTTGCTAATCAATATTTCAGTTTATTCGAAAGACCCGAGTCAGTCATGAAATGCAAAGCGTATATTACTGTGAAACTCGCGCATAATTAAATATAGAAATGCAGAGTTAAAAATTACAATAAGCGTATTATTAATACACTATCCGTAGTGGCCAGCTATAAAAGAAGATAATAAAAGGATTGAACGGATTTGGAGAATGTCAAATTTAATTTTGTAATAAAAATATATAATGCCGAAAATTAAACTGTCGGAATATTTATTTAAAAACGTAATATTAAAATGGATTAAATTTTGAGGTAAATTTTTAAGTCCTGATTTTACCTTAGCTGTTTCATTATTATTGCAAACTTATTTAGCATCGGAATTAAAATATTTAATGCAGGCGTGGCTTCATTCATGTCACTAGACGACAGAAGCTTTTTGCATCTGAAAACTTTACACGAATATTTCAGAAATACAATTTGTGGCATCTGAGTTATTAAGACGGGAAAATCCTTTACGGTTAAGACGATTAAGAAACTTGGAAGTAACGCATTTAACAAGAAATGTTAACCCAAATCTTTAAATATTAGTACTAAAATTAACGGAGGATATCTGTGCATCCTGTTTGTGGCTAATCAAATCGTTTCTCTTATTAGATCTTTGCAAGAGACTTAAAATGGATCGCGAAATATCGGTAAATGATTCCCAGCAGCGCGTTTAATGGTAGCGTGAGAAATTCATAAGGTATCCTCCGTCCGTGCCCCAATTATCGTTGCCTTATCGATGCCGTTCGACTTTCGTGCCCCGCAGTCGCCCCCACGTGCAAGCCGAATCAGACCAAGGTCCACGGCGTGGCGAAACAGGAGAAGGCGAATATATCCTGCCAAGTGGATGCAAATCCACCGGAAGTGCAATTCAAGTGGACCTTCAATAACTCCGCCGAGAGTATCGACGTTGCGGCCGGGCATATCGCGCGGGCAGGCACATCCTCCATCGTCTCGTACACACCAATGACGGAATTAGATTACGGCACGTTACTCTGCTGGGCCAGCAATCACATCGGGCAACAACAAGTGCCCTGTGTATATCACATTATACCGGCGGGTAAGGGATCCTCTGCATTCGTATCCGCATCGCGATATTTCGCGAAAATGCGAGGCGACGTGGCTCCCGGTGCGCAGCGCAAATTTTCGATCTAGAAGATTGATCATCACGACGAGTTTGCGTGACGTGGCGTAACGATATTATGCAAACTACAAAGAATTTTTTTTTTAAATCGATAGGTAATATTTCTCTCGCGCTAACTCGATTCAATCCTTCTTTAATTTATGATTGCCCTTGGCGAGAGCTAGAATGAATAGATAGGAAATGGGAAGAAATCCCTTTTCAGAAAGAAGAATAGAGCCGGCGATGATGTAATTTCTAGATCCTTTCTACATTTCGCATATTAAAAATTGCGCAAACTGAATTTCCACCCTGCCGTTTAATTCGCCTGTAATTTTGTAAGTTGGTAAAACTATATAACAATAAAGCAGATAGTTTCCATCCGAGAGATTTAAACCTTTCGGGAATTGCAACTTTATGCTAATTTAGGATTCGGATTTTATTCCTAGTTTCCAAAGTCTCACATTTACGTAATTGAATAACTAATTCGAATCTTGGTGTGAAATTGGAATGACGTGGTACGTGCGTGTGCCGTTTTAAAATTATCCAATTACGTGAAAGTTCGAGAGCTTGTAATCATAATTAGTTCCACTTAGTATTGTTACGATGGCAACGCGAATTAGATAACGTGATAACGAAGTCGCGATTTATTTCTGAATATCAGGAGTCTTTTGAAATGTAGATAAAAGGAATATTACTTAAGGAATATTGTTATTACATCGCACATTTCTCCCTTTCTCTTGGCATGCGCGGCGCGATAACACAAAAGGGGGAACTAGTTCTCTTTTATTTGTTAAACAAATCATTACGATGAACAAAACCCGATACTGTTGCTTTTTATTCAAATTCTTAAAAAATCTGTATAACCCAAATGGATTCGTTCGGGTAGCATTGGGCATCCTTGTTATTCTCATGTCCGCGTTTCCGCCTCGCGTATCGATGCTCGAGTTACCAATTAATTGCGATTCGCGGATCATGCTATCGGATTGCTCTACAAAGAAAACACGCGTACGCGTATGCAAGGATGCGCGCATTCTGGACATAAAGGAAAATAGCCTCTCGCCTCTCTCGCGCCACCGCAAACAATAAAATAAAAAAAAATAGCAAATCCGACGTCGGACGGGTAAAAAGGGGACATCGCGAGAGACGGTAGCAGGTGTCCGGTGATTTTTCAGCAACCATAAACGCGAGAACAACTCGGCGTATTCCCGCTTATTTCCTTTTCTTTATCCCTCGCCCTCCCGTGCCCTCCCACGTCGCAATATGCCGTTATCGTTTCGCTCGCGCCCTTTTAACCGGCTTTTACGAGCCGCCAAGTGTACCGCCGACTAATGCCTTTACAGAAAAAAGCCAGACAGCCGTATATCTTTACAGCCGACTCGGTTACAAGTGGCTTGTATGCGCCAGCGCACCGTGCGCCGGGATTTACAGGGCAACTATCACGCCCTGATTCGCGAATCTACCGCACGTGAAACGATATGTTGCATAACGCTTCCCCTTTCGCCACCGTCTGTACAGAGACTATACATCATTTCGGCGCGAGAAAAGAACGGAGCATTGAAAGTTGGAGTAAACTGCAGAAACTGCTGACGCTGGGAGAGTTACCGTTCTACTTATGTAATTAGTTTCGCTTAAAATTCAGCGCACTTTAATATAGCGTAAAAAGCAGAAATAAACAAACTTCGGAAACTACGGGAGGAGTTATTACGCAATTTTTTTTTACATTCGTACTTTTTTTCATTCGTATAATTTTTAGACTGCGGACCGTATCCATGGGGCTTCAGAATCCCGCGGTTCCGAGAGAGAGAGAGAGAGAGAGAGAGAGAGAGAGAGAGAGAGGCCGGAAAAAAAAGTTATTTCATTTTTCTAAACGATTGAAGAATGTAACTTTTATATTGATTAACCATTTTTAATAAAAAGGCAACAGGCCAATTTTTCCGCGAAATATAGAATTGAACGGTGAACGGGAAAAATTGCTGTACATTTTTTATTTAATCTGAACGCAAAATTGTTTGCAATCTTAAGAGGCTTTTCCCCGCTGTTGGCGCGTAAAACGAAAATATTTCGGTATTATCGTCGTTAATTCATTTATTCCTACAATTCGCTTGGCCAATACCGAATGGCGGCATGATAAATATTTTAATCTGAATCTGTCATAGGTTCGAACAATATTGTTTTAACAGTTATTTAAACTATTGAGAGAGACGGATTCGCAATCCGATAGTCATTTTCGAAAAAATTGATATAAAGCGACAAAATCGTGGATATTTCAAATTTCTATCGCTCTACGTAACTCGATTTCATACTCTTTTAATTTCGACGATCGTTTTTTCATCCGCCGTTTACTCTTTCGTTATCCCGGCGCGCGAAAGTACATCGATTGTCGAAAAGGGCGCACTTGGAGAACTCGGGAGTCGCGATATTATCGCGACCTCGCGGTCATTACGAGCTGTTACGAGCGCGCGAAGTAGTCACGTGCACGCGGCGTATTTTAAAACGCAGGCGAACCTTATCCGTGACAGGCCGACCAGACATGGTTCACAATTGCACGACCTCGAACACGTCGACCAACTCGTTTTCCGTGCGGTGCACGGAGGGCTTTAACGGCGGCCTACCGCAGTCCTTTCTGCTGGAGGTGCGCGAGAGCAACAGCCAGGAGTTGCGTGTCAATCTGACGTCGCCGGTGCCGCGCTTCAACGTCACTCACCTGGAGTCCGGCGCTCTTTATCAGGCCTGCATTTACGCCTACAACGACAAGGGCCGCAGCGAGGCGATGGTGGTGCAGGCCGGCACCCTGAGGCTGCCGGAGAAACAGCTGACGTCCGAGTCGGGTGAGAGAGAATTCGCCAATTTTTCCCTGCCGGATCCGGGAGCAGCGATCACGCTTTTCGCGCTGGTGTTCTCGCACTAAAGATCGAATAGTCGATGTAAACCACCCGCGCAGATGTGTGTTCCAGTACAAACAGCAGTTGTATATTAAAAACTAAATTGATACTCAAATTTGATATTTCAAAAATTCCTGCTAGACTCGCTGTAACGTTAACAACTCCCAGAGCTTTCGATATCTTCTGAACAAGCTTCGGTACTCGATTTGCTTGAAAGTTCCGGGAAAGTATTGACTCGAGAGCCATCACATCATATCACGTGGTGTATCCTGCACGAGTTGGTTTTCAAATCACTCTTTGCTTGCGGTATACAAAATTCTTTATCGTGGAAAGGTCGCGCGACCGCATTTTCGGAAGGACACAGTTGGAAATTTCCCATTTCCGGGAAATAAAAATTCTAAAGTTCATCAATCGGTCTTGTAAAATTACGATCGACGAAGCATCGTGCAACAACACTGTAAATTATCGAAATTCAAGCGGATTTTATAGATCCGATTTCTTTTAATCTTCTCAAAAATGTTCTCTCTTCTTAATGGAACAGCCATGTGCGTTCGACGTCACGCGACACACTAGTTTCAAGAGACTGCGCGAGATTTAGATAATTACCGCGAAAAATCCACGTCGGCGAAGAGCCGCTGCCAATTGGCCGAATTGATGAAAAGCTATCGACTCAATATTAATTCGTCGAGCGAGCCGCGTAAAAAGCTCCCGGCGCTTTTATGACCCGACGCGAAAAATCGGGTCAGGAATTGTCGATTTAATACCGCCGGACAATTTCCCCCGTTGTTTGCCCGATGCGATTGTTATCGTAATTTTTAATTCGTCCACCACCGGGGTCTGGGATCCCGCTTTATATCTCGATTAAAATAAAATGCGCCCCTCGCTGTATTTGGGGCATTACTCGTTCGCGTTTCGACGGGATATGCAAACAAGTCGAGCGTGACACCTGTGTCATGCACCTTTTATGTTTTCATGAAAACCGTGCCCATTACGTTATTAACATTTCGTGTAGCATCAAACTGTTATAATGTTATTGTATCACGTAATTCGTTAAAAAATCCGATGCCACGTCCGGACTTTAAAAGTGCTTAAAAGCGTTTTTCATTCAAGAGAATGTCATTTGCGTCGACGCGATCGAAAGCTGTTTAAAATAGTTATAATTCAGCGCTAATGCACGACTAGACGACGTGATGTAGTTGAAAATGCGCGATAATACCATCTCGGCTAGACGACGCGATAATACCGTCTCAATTAGACGACGCGATAACGCCATTTCTATATATCAGTTCGAAATGGTTATTACGTGATAATACCGTTTCGACTGGATATCGATTACTTCTGACTCGCGATTCTTTGACTGCGGCCGCTTTGCAGAACGACCAAGACAGCATGACAATCTAACGCCGATGCTGAGCGTGACGATAGGCGTTGTGATGGCCCTCATTATCGTCGCGGTCATAGTGATGGTCGTCCTACGGATCCAGCACACGCACGTGGAGGAGCAGAACAAGTCGCAGATGGAGGATCACGCGAAGCAGACGAAGGCCGTCCCCATACAAAGGGAACTGCGATTCCGGGAGGGGTGCAGCTTGCTCGCGGACGAGAAGCATCCCAGCAGCCCGTTCAGGAAGCTGGACACCAGCGGCGATCTCAGCGAAAGCGACGAGAAGAATCCTGACATTATTCCACAGCAGATCACTGGTTCGCGTCTTCGCGACTCCTATATTAATCTTGAGTTCGGCTGCGAAAGCTACGGAAGTGAACTTAGAAATCGCGTCGCGACGACGAATGTAAAGGAAGTACGCGGAGAGAATTTTCTTTTAAAATTTATCCTGAAAAAATCGTAATCGTGGGACAACGCGGCATTTCCAAGAATTTTATGAATTTTTTGAAACTTTTCCATACGCCAGTGATTATACTCACTAGTAAAATGTACGGTAAACTTTGAAAAAACTCTCGTAAAGTTGCTCAAAATGCCACGTTGTCCCACGATTACGCGATTTTCAGGGTAAATTTCAAGAGAAAATGCTCTCCGTGTATGATAGAATTAACAAATGCCGAGAAAATACATATTGTCTCTCCAAATACAAGTATATTTTTTCTGCGGAGAACGCAGAAATTAAAAACCCGATATACGATGTAGCAAATAAAATTTTACGTAAATTACAAGGTGTCCAAGAGAACACTATCTTGTCAAGATTGAAAGAAAATCTCACCGATGGAGCGCTTCCGCACGTTTTACGCGGTTGTTTCGGAAATTCCCTCGTTCGCGTTTATACGCTCGTAAAGCTCCGTGGCGAAATTTGGTGGTTGTAAAACCATCGTGAATTTTTGCGCAGGTGACGAACCGTCGGAATACTTGAGGAAGAGACGTCTGGTATCAACGATCGAGACGTCACCATCAAGGAGCCTTCTGGAGCACTCGACGGTGACTTCCATCAGCGGGCACAGCAGTTACGTCGGCTACTGCACGATCCGTAACGGCATGCCGCTGCACGAGTTCTCCAACTTGTCAACAAAGCACAAAAGCGTAAGTTCCATTGGGGATTCGATAATGTAAATGTTGCGCAATGCAAATACCCCGTAGATATTTAGCGAAATAACAGGGTGGCTTGTATTGATAACAATCGTGTCGTATCGAGAGGATTGATTGTACGATTCAGGATTAGATTAAATAATTACACTTGTTACCCTCAATTTGCGCGAGGTATTTGTTCCGCGTCGTTTCTTTTTTTACGCAGTTGAGAATCGCAAATGGAGCCTGCCTGTACAAAAAATAAATACCTAAGAGAAAAGCCCGTGTATGTTGGAAAAACATTTATCTCACATATTTTCACAAAAACGATAATAATGAAAGTAAAGAAGTAAATTTGTTATCACTTGTGCGGGTAAGCTCCTCTATATAAGAGGTCAGACTGGTGTAATAATTGTAACAAATTCAAGTAAAAACTTTTGGCTTATTGATACATAATAATTTCAAAAATATACCATGGAAAGATATATTTTCTAACTGCGTAAAACTGAGACCGCGTAAATCGAGGGACGAGTGCACGTTGAATGATACAAAGAAATACGTTTCGTAGTAATGATAACGGCCTTCGATATTCTCTCTTTTAAATAACATATGACTTTACCTTTATAATATATGGCCGCGCCAATTTGTTGATAGACGGAAATGATGAGTGACACGTTTCAGTTTCAGCCGATGGTGGGCGATGTCTATGAGAGTGGCGTTTGCACCCTGCCCAGGCAACACTGGCCCAGCCAGAGCGTCCAATCGATGTCGATGACAATGAGTCCTCCGATGTTGTACGCCGGTCTGGGCGTTGTCACCAGAACTTGTCCGAGCGGTACACTGCCGACGAAGGATTGCGAGACACGAGTGCCCGGCCAGTGTTGTCCAGCGGTCCAGACGCAGAAGGACGCGACGATAGGCACGCCGGTGGTGATGGCCAAAAGGGAGAGCTCCGTGTGACCCTACACCCACCACGGGGCCTGCACCTGCAGCGTGAGCGAGCTGCTGTGAATCACGCCGTAGTGAATCGCGAGATAGCCGCGGATCCCGGACTACACGAGCGTCCAGGAAACGTTTAGGAGACGTCCACAGAGCGTCTGTTAGGAAGACGAAAGACGTTTGGACAATTATCGTTATCTAGATCTGAAGATTACGATGTCTCCCTTCGGACATATTCGTAGAGGGACGATTCCTTCTGCCAAACTGAAACGTTCCTGCGACGCCTGTGCCGTCCGAGACGCTTTGAGCGTGCGAGCCGGTTCGAGTTCGACGGGTTTACGTTTCTACCCCATGACAAGCGTCACGATTTGCGTCTCTCTGTTAAATCAAGTGCCCTTTTTACACTGAAAAACGACGAACATCCCCGACCCGGCTGCTCTGCCGGCTTCTCTCATCTCGTGCGTAGCCTCGTGACCGAGCCCCGGTGGTACCACACCACCGGAACACCTCGTGTGGTAGAGAGTGAATTTACGAAAATGTGCGTGCGCGAGATCGCGAGCTCGTCGCGCATACACCTGTACATACCTCGAGACGCGGAAGATATTTTGTACGAGTCGCGTATATTAACGATTTATTCCCACTTTTACTATGAACACAACACTGTACAATTTGTCTAGTCGATGTAAGTATAAATATGTATATGCGTTAAAGTCGTCGGGGAGGCGCCAGACCAGAATAACGTACACTGAGGGGGATGGTCATCACCGTCGCGTCACGTCGCGCGCGCGGCGTAATTATTTATAACGTTGACAACGCGTAAACGCGTAGTAGCGGGACTCTCGCGGGTACGGGAGAGAGAACGGGAGGCGAAGTTGTCAGAGACATATCGTTTGTATCTCCATCCGCGGGAATCGAGCGCGAGGCGTACATAGAGCGGCGGAGTAAATGAGACGAAAGAAGAAGAGAGAAAGAGAGAGAGAAAAGAATTCCCGTCGCGCTTTCATCTCAGTCTGCAGGATTCTGGATTTCACTGTAATATTAAGTATCTCTTGTACAATGTATAAAGTAACGACTTCCTTCGAAGTAAATGTACCGAGTATGATGAACGTTGTTTTTTCAAAGTCTTGAATCTTACTCTATATAGGGAGAGGACGCCCCCGATTTACGCCCTAAAAAAAGATGTGGTACAGTAATTGCGATAGCACTTTTAACTTACTGCCTGTTTCGACGCTTGTGAATCTCGTTGGTACTTCGTTCGGCGGAGGTTCCCGACCTCTCTGTATCATATAGCTTTAAAATGAGAAAAAAAAGAGAATAAGAGAAACGAAGGTTCGTCGAAAGGGCGCCTCGTCATATCCTCCGTACGATACAGGGATAATCTCGTCGATTAGAGTCGGCTATCGGGTTGCTAATCCGTGAGAGGTGAAATGAAAATTGACCATGTAGCCTTCCCCTTGACATCGAGCAGTCGATTACTGGGCGATGCATCTCAGCTGTTATTACGTGAGACGCGCGTTAAGGGTCTCTCCTTTATCGCGCGAATATACCCGTGATAATACCCGTATTTTGCTTCGATCGCAATCGGTACAGATTGATTTTTCGCGTATAGGATTGCGCACCGAACACGCGACGATCCTGCTGCGACTGCAAGGACTCACGTCGAGGATTAGAATGCACTTCGTGCGGCGAGAGAAGAAGAGAGATGTGTCTTTCGATGTTCCCATATTGTACCTAAATAAGATCGACGTGTATCTAATCGTTCTAGAACTCGATAACGTAATTGTAAATTAATTTACATAATGAAATGTTTGTATAATTTTTTCTGGCGTTACAGCGCATTCCACGCTCGCTGAAGCAACGGTATCGATCTACTTCAGAAAACTGGAACAGGAATTCGAGACAGAGCTCTCTCGCGTTTAGAAAAGGGCGAAAATTAACTTAATTTCGTTGGAAAATCGCCCCTCTCGCGTTTTCATTATGAAGCATTAAATGATTTTCCGTCCCTCTAGAGCGGGTTTTATTTTCGAACGAAGTCGCGATTTCTGTTCTATTTTTATGCTACCGAGGCCGAAAGTCTCGTCGAAGCAGCACGGTATTTTGTCTATCAGATCGCAAGTTCGCGCAAATTGACCATAAAGGGAATGTAGGTTGTGACTGTTTGCAGTCGCGTCGTCGTCGCAGTTACACGTGCTTGCAAATGAATATGCAGAAGGAGACGGTCCTACACACGAACGAGGCGCACGCGTCCGCGTATCCGTTCCGCCGAGGGGAACGACGGGCGATTATCGGGGCTACTTAGCGTATTATTCGATGTGTAAGGAAACGTAGAAAACGACGGAGTCGAAGGTTCTACGCGAGCCGTAAAAAGCTATCACGAGAATTTCTAGGGCGAACACGTTGTTTCCTCCGATCGCTTAGACGTTACGTTAATACGTCGCTCCCGTGAAGATCTATTAACATTTTAAAAAATGAGATGAATCGTTGATTATTATTATTACTGCCATTAATGGAATTGATGTCGGAACATTGTGAGTGTATGTTGTCGAAGAGAATTTTTAGTAATCGTTGAAACACGGTCGATACGCGCGTTTCTTCCCCCCCCCCCTGCTCTCCCCCCTCCCCCGCTCCCCTTGTTATAACTTTTGCACACATAGAGATTGTAGCCGTATGCAATATGAAAGAACGTTGCGACATAGAGATTCTGCGGTCCGACGACGGGGAGATGTCACGGAGAAAACGAAAAACGTACAATAAAAGCTGGAGATCCAAAACTGCCAAAGTTTTCTATACTTTGTTCGTACGTGTGATCACTATATACGCGCACTATACTGCGAAGAGAAACCGCGTCAACTTGTTAATAAATAACGGATTTCTTTTTTTTTGCTAACGAGACACGATCGTCCGAGAAAATGTTTATTAATTCCAATTTTTGTCCGCACGTTTGATCGAATCCAAGGAGAGGTGAAAGGAAGAAGAAGAGAAAATGAGGCGAGGCGGGTCATCAGGTTTTTCGCATCTTGCTGACGACAGGTGGTCTTCAGGGCGCGTTCGGTCCTTCGCTGTTCGTGTGGCCGGAAGCCTCTCCGCGGTCGTCGAACGCGTCGCGAGGCATGATGTCGCAAGGCGGTGGCCAGACACTGTTATCTGCAAAATGATAAACGGTCAGCACCGGAAGATCAACGTGAGCGAGGACACTTCTCGGTCGCGCGTTGAATCGTTGATCTTCAGCGAAAACATGATATCTCGGCAACGTCGGCTGTACTCGTTTCAATGTGATTCAAGTGTCGGTGGAAAACACGACGTATACCTATGCCAAGAGAGAATATCGATTGTTTTTTCTTAATTTTTTCAAAGATAAGAGAGTGCGTAGCTGCACCGTTCTGTACGCATCACTGCTTGTATCTCGTAGTAACGAGACCGGATCCGAGACCAGCCGCCGCGCTTGTGCGAGACATTGAAGATTTGTATATGTACTTAGTTTAGGACTATCTTCACACACACGCAGACACACACACACACACACACACATGAATCTCATGTACCCCATACCAGAACGTTTTTTTGATATTGTAAATATTCTGAAATAAATAATCGTTTTTATTCACGCGGCGCGCATTATTGTGTTCCTCAGCGGTGATCTTCGCGCGGATCAATTATGATCCAGCCCGGTGTCTCCGACAATAAATACTACAGAATCCGTTATTTCTTTCGGAAACTCGAGGTAACGACGCATCCCTCGACCACAAATTTTTCGAGGACGGATTTTGCAAAGTGTGTCCGCTACTCCGGCAAAAGTAGGATGAAATGTAATGACAGATATCAATCTATCATTACATGATACACCTGTCTATGATTATATGATTGATGGGGAGAAACGGAGCAAGGTTTGCCGTTTCGTGATTAATCAAATGAAATATATCGTTTTATTAATTTACAATTATTCCATTTCATTATATTGTCCATTTAAATAATCACGAAGTGACAGATTCTGCTCGATTTCCGCCGTCAAATTACGTCGGCGGGTTCCGGCGGGATGCGCGGTTCCGACGCTTAAATTGACGCCGGTGCAAGGACCCGCCTGGAATCTGCTGACAAACCGCTCGGTGTACAGTTAATATTTTGCTTACTGAGTAATTCTCTTACCGTCCCAGAACGCGCTTGGCGATGCATCGGAGTACATTCGCAAATGCTCCTCGACGGTCCTGAGCACCGGCGCGTTCACGTTCAAGAGAAACTCGAGCACCGTGCTCTCGGGCAGATACCGGGCCGCTTTGTCTCCCAAGCTACGTAGCGCGTCTTGAGCGTCGATCGACTGTAAAATCGAATGAAACCAGCGTCGCGAGGTAGAATGGAGGAAATTCTTAGCTTTATACATTCGGTATCTCGGATTCAGAATCCCCCTCTCGCCCGCCCCGCTCGCGCGAACGTGGGTCTTTGAAGCCTCGTCAAACCTCTGTCCGACGTGCGCGCACGGGGGAGCCGTTTAAGGGGATGCTTTTACATCTTCCTTTGGATCCCTGCAAAATTGCGAACCTTTTCACGCGCCGCGTTTGCGATGTACTCGCATAACGTGTACACCTTTATTAGACAGTTTGAGACTCGCTTTAGAATGTCGTCCAGCGTGCGAGCTTCCAACGCCCCTATTAAGGTCGGCGGGGTCGTGTAGACGTGGCACCACCCCGGGAAGAATCTCTGCAAGTGCAATATATGTATGCGCTATCTCTCTCTTTTTTTTATGCAGATATGCACGCGCATTACACGTCAGGCCACCGACTTGATGAACGTGATGATACGAAGGCAGGGGAATTGCTTTTCCGAATTTACATTCATCGTCGTCCGCGGCGTACATAAGCTCGTAGTGCTTATAAATGATATCTTCCCACGCCTATCAAGAGAATAATCTGCGCCTTATTTCCATTTCTCGCTTCGGGAAACAAATAGCGTCGAGTAGACGGATCAAAAGCGCGAGACCCGCGGTCGTAGAGGAAGGATCGCGCGATTCGACGACTTGCAATTCGAATGAGCGATAACTTAGTTTAACATTTCTACGGTATAATGTGGAGATAAAGTGTTTCAAGTACCTCTAACACGTGAACGTAATACGTTGGGTAGACAAGAAACAGTCCTGTCACGAGCATGTTATTGTTATCCACGCGGGCATCCCGTATAATATTTTCCATTCTCTGTGAAAAATGATAAAAATTATTTAAGAGACGTTACTCTCTTCAATTGCTGCCTCAATTGTGTAATCGGAAGTTGAACCGGTGTTGTTTTATAAAAGTGTCATTTCTACGCGCAGCGAGACCGCGTCAATTACGATATCTCTGATAATCACTATTTTCGTCGAACGTAATCCTGTTTGAAATAAGACACATATGATGAGATCACATGCAATTACAATGTAAATTAATAAGATTTCTTATTTATTTACATTCAAATGATCGTATTCTAATATTTTAAACTGTCGCGAATTGTGTTTAATGTCCATCAGAGTGTGGTAGATCACTCGGAGATTATTGCAGTCGCGATTACAAAACTCTGAGATACGACACATATAATTTACGACGGCACTCACCTTTCGCAAAACTTCATGAGTTCCGCGGTATTCCCCGAAGTAAACGACTCGCGTAACGGAAGTTTTCTAAAAAGAGAATACTCGACGTGCATTTCGAGAAAGAACTGTTTAAGCTTTTACCAGCTTCTTTGTAGAGTCTCTTTAATGTTTTATATTATCAATCTTTAAACAATGTTTTTTTTACACACGAGCCTTTTGTATCGTTTCAGGATCATTTTCATTAAAAGTTCTTAGTTACATATGCATGTCAAACAGTCAAACGGTACAACTTACGTAACCAGAAGCGCCAAGATTATATTGCAACACATCCAGAGCGCTTTTTCTCACCGGCTCGGTCAATGATTCCATTAGCTCTCACTGTATTTTCACTCAAAAGACATTAATTATGTGGCGCCCTATTGTTAAAAAATTTAAGTACTTCGTCTTTCGCGTAAAAGCAGGAAATCCATGTAATTTCTTTATAGCTTTTATACGGTTTCGGCGTTGTAAAATACATCGATAAAAAAAAACAATCTGAATGCATCCAAAGAATTCTCCTTTTCAACCTGAAGCTTACTTTGAGGCTACCTTCGTTCGCTGCAAGTTTTATACACGCAGTGGATAAAAACATGGCATACATGCATTGGCGTCATGAATATTTTAATAGAAAAATATGCGGCAAAGATTGAGCTGTTCCACAGCATGAATAAATGAGAATGAATTAAAAGATAAAAAAGCGAAGAAGATAAATCAGTGATGCCCTCGGATAAAGGGCGCGATCGATATGCACATCAAATAAAATGGCTAAATAATTTCTTTTTTAATCAGACTTTTAAAAATATATTTATCAGAAATTTCTACAGCGTAATAATAGATTGTTTCCGCAAACCAGAGATCCAAGTAATCTAATAATAATCTATATAAATAATCAATACGTTGTAATTAAAGGATCGTTATAAAAAACAAAAAAAAACAAATGTGGCAGGATTGTATAATAAACGATTTTGCATTTTAATTCCGCAGGAAAAACTTTTATGGATTCCTTCAAGAATCCCTTCAATATATATCACAAACGCGTTAAAATTAAAGTCGACATGCATCATCGCGCTTATTCTAAATCTAAATAATACTGAATCACATTTTAGATCGGAAACGATCCCAAGATTATTTCTTTGCTATAATCGGCAGCAACGGTGGCGTCGGTTCGCTGGGATTACCCAGCCATACGGATTTACTAAAGCGTCCCTTTATAACGGGCGCTTGCCACTTGTTACTGCACACGATGGTAGGGGTTGGCTTCTCCGCAGTGACCATGGCTATGCTTACGGTCCTGAAACAGAGATTATTTAACAGTAAGCGAATGAGGAAAACTGCGCACTCCGATAATGCGGGCCAAGTCCCCGGTTTAAGAAATTGAAATGATGCTATTTGTAAGAGACGTCGCAAAACTTGGTAATAAAACAAGAATATTTCTACTACGCGCAATAATTCTTTCCCGAGGAAAGAATGATTGCGGTATAGAATTTCTATAATACATTTTGACAGAACAAGGGAGGAGAAAATGAAGATATTCGTGACGCAGAAACAGCATTTATTAATGAAAAACGTGTTACAAACTCTTTTGAACGCCACTTATTTTATAATAAATTTACGAAAAAATAATTTCTCAAAGTTTGAGTATGTATTATGAAGATTTATTCCGGAAGCCTGTTATAATAATACATACTCATCCTATTCATATCCTATTCATATCCTCCACCCATATCCTCAAAAATGGTTTTAGTGTCTTGTAACTTACACGAATTACTTTGCTGAACGTAGCATTTTTAAATTGATAAACAACAATGTGAAGTAATGAAAATTACTTTGTTTGTTTGTTTATCAAATAAAAAAGGCAATTCTAGCATAAAACAAAATTACAATAAAAATGCAAGTGATGGTATAGCAATAACGGTAATATTTATCACAATATAAATATGATTGTGTACTTAAGAAAAACAAATCCCATATTAAAGGTATGGTTATAGCAACATAAAAATTGTAAACATAAAATAAAACAATAAGGTTGGATGGAGAACAAGTGAATCACGTAGGTGAGTCACAATTTTTATGATAATGATTGTACCCTTCGTATTTTCTATCTGGTAGAAACTGGCATGTTAATAAACACAAAATAATTCACGATTGTCTATTCTAGAAATTGATTAGGTCCTCTAATGCCAAGGTACTTGACTTGGATGACTGATGGTACCCAGTTTGTAGTACCTGGTGGTAGACGGTATCTGTTGAGCTGGTGTAGACGAACTCGGCGGAGTCGCTACAATGGGAGTTTCGGCACCCTGTGCTGGAATACCGTCTCCCTTAAGAACAGAGATGCATTTCCAGCGGTTAATGAAATTGTCTTTCCACAATCGGACGCAACCGTCGTCGCCGGAACTTGCTAAAATCGTTCCCATGCAGTTCCAGCTGACACGCCAGACTGTGCAGTAATGATCGTCGAACTGCGCGACTACATTCGTTTCGAAATGCGACACACCGGTCTGCGTACTCTCGCTGCAAGCAAAATGGCATACCTCTCAAAACAGCGTACCTTTCAACTAGCCTGTACTTCTTTATGCAGTCCCGAGTGGTTGTACTTACTCCGTCGGTTTCAAAGTGACTATTCGCACGTCCTTCGTGGCTATGGCCAGTGTGTGGAAATTTCTGCCTAGATTAGGAGCAAACGCAATATCGTAAACGGCGTCCGTAATGCTCGACAACGTCTCGGCCTTCACCCAACGCCTACTATTCTCGGAATATTCGTAGATAAAGATTTTGGCCCCAAGCGTAGGATTCGGGTCGTCGCTGCCGACTGCTATCATAGGCGGGTGTAATCTAAGATATATTTTTGTCAAATGTTAGTACAAACATATTCAAATATTCAGTTTCTTACTCACCGTGCGATCAATCGTTATTTCATACCAATTGTTCTTTTATACCAATAAGTAAAATTTAAAAAAATAATAGGATGAGACAAAAGAAGGCACGAGCACACTTACCTCGAGAGAGATGGATTCCACGTGAGACAACTGCACGAAAGCTTGCAGTTGATGTCGTGTTGTAACGTCCACTGGCTCAAATTCATGATATCCGGTGCCTCGTATATCCGAATGAATCCATCCGCGCTACAAGTGGCCAGCAGAAGGCCCAGGGTCTTCGGTGCAAACTTGACATCCGTGACCGAGGTGCGCGAGTCAACCAAGTTTGTTCTTTTAATCCAATGCTTACTGCCGCGTGCCTCCGGCCCCGAGCCCTCGCCCACTGTCGAATAAGAGAGGAGACGTGGGAAATAGTGGAACGTACCACCGTTGGGCTTAGAAAGAGAAAATTACGACAATCTCTCCGCCGTACCGATCTCCTCCCAAACAGCAGCGGTGCGATCGAATGAACATGTAGCGAGAACCTGACCGAATTCCGGATGTGCCCACGTGACCTTCCATACCGATCCGCTGTGGGCCTTCCAGGAAGCGGTTAAGTGCCAATTTCCATGCTCGTCCTCGTCCCAGACCTGCAATGTATCATTACACCTGTAATATTCCACAAGTAACCGTGTATTAACAAGCGAACTCGCGTAGTTAATTAATTCAAGATTATATAAGTGATACTCGCGTATCCGGCGACGATTGAGCGCGCGAGTAAACCAAGAATCGTCATCCCTTCGCTCGCCCGTACCTTGACAAACTGATCGCTGGAGCATGTCGCCATCCGTTCCCCATAGTAATCGTAGGCGATATCGTGTATGAGATCCTTGTGCTCCGCATTGATGCTGTGCGCCTCGTACATCTCGAGCGTAATAAACGCCAGGTGGATACACACTCGTGCGAATAGTTGTTTACTTAACGCGCCACGCGCCAAAGGTTATGACACGGTGCGCTTCGCGTTGGCTGGATGATGGTTGCGCGGCCGGCGGCGCGCTTCGAACACCAACGCGTCCTCTGGGAGAGCAGACGTCAACTACGTCCGTTACGCTCGGTAATGGTAACAGTGTCCACGCTATGGTTCATGTCCCAACTACTCACCCATGCATCAGTTATACATTGCATTTATACACAATTTCTCACTCAACAATGTAAATTGTCTCTGGTTCTTCTCTTTCCGAATAATACAAAGTCCGAACGATTGTTTCATTTATCTTATCCCATCGGATTCTCATGTCGTCCATCTTCTGACCCAGCAAACACCGAGCATCAGCCCAGATAGCACACTGAATTCACAAAGTATTCTTTAAGTTTTCTTTTTTCTGAATTGTAATTCTTTAGGAATTCATAGAAGAATACAATAAGAGTGACAGAGGAAGTTACATGCACCATAAATCGTTTTCCTCACAACTTCTTAAAGTATTCATCTCGAATTTCAATAAATGTAAACTTTATGAATTCAAGGGGAATAGTGTTAGAACAAAGAGGATTACAAAATATTTACCCAATGTATGTACACATCTAATATGCAGTAACATTACACCATTATTATAATTTCTCACTCAACAGTGAGATGCTCTCAACCGAAGCTCATTGACAATCGGATGATTCTTCCGTTTCGGTTCTCGTCGTTCGATTCTTTCTTTTACACAATAGAACTATTGCACAAAATTAATTGCACATAACGTTACGCACACAAAATATTGCACGTGGTAACACGCTGCACAAGAACGTCCGGATGGCGGTTAGCGGATACTCGCGCATGACAAATAATTCCTTATAAATTCGTAAAGTATTCACAGTACTGAATCGCGAAGTATTTATTCATTGTATTCACAAGTATTCATTATAATGAACTTCAAGACGAACTGATTGAGACTAATTCTTCAAGAATTCTTCAGATGTTCATTTTTCTAATTCTGTATGTTTTCTTTAAAATGAATTCTCTATGAACTTATGTTCATCTTTGTGCTATCTGGGAGATACATCGCGTTTATGCAATTTACATTGTTGTGTGAGAAATTGTAACAAAATATTTTATTACAGTGCAACAATGCACTGCATTAAATATTGCAGATCTAATATCGATGCGATATTAGACCAGTATTGGCGAAATAAGAAAAGGCGTCTTACAATATTGTACCAATATTGGGAATACTAGATTTACATTTTTTTTTATTTCCCAATATTGCGCCAATATATTGTGCTACTAGGGCGGTATCGCACATCTGAACTCTGAAGGCGTCCGGCGTGTTTTTTCCTTTCCATCTCATTCTTCTCTCGCTTGCTCGAACACATGAGAACACGTCTCAGATTTGCAATACCGAACGCAGCTCTCAGGTTGCAATTATTTGTCTTGTTAATATTCCTTCTAATCGAAAGCTTGCATCCACATTAACTTCCCAGCAAACACCGAAGTAACAATTACATAATATCAATGCAGATGTAATATAACAGACATGCGTTATGTTACATTTATATTTATGTTACGTAACTGTTACTTTGGTGCTGGCTGAGTTATAAAAGCACACCGTTAGATTCTTTATTATGGTCTTGCTTACCGAGATATCTTAATCGAAAAGTTTATCTGACGTAAAAAAGTCTGCATAAGCTACTTGGTAGCGCTTTGACGTCATCATGCAGTGACTCTTATCGGTCGGCCCTTGTTTTGCTTTTTACGTACTTGGCGTCGCAATGCTACCGCGATTTTAAAAATAAATAAAATAAAAAATATATAACGCAGCTTCCTTCGAGTACATTCATTTTCGTTTCCTTTTTAGCTTGAACTTTTTCCGGAGTCATGACTTTACAATCAAAGTTTCGATCTTTAGATTAAATATATATTAATTATAATTACTTGTTAATTTTATTGGAGGTCCTTATATCTCATTGTCTCTTCCATCCGCACCACTTATATTAATTAGACATTAGAAAAGAAAGAAGTCGCAAAATACTCGATTTCAATTACGATGCACTTTTTCTTTTCTTCAATTACGAATAAGGATGCAGGGGCGAATGACCGTTCTACTGTTAATTAATGACAATTACGTTAAACGTTACGTGTTAAACGATTCTCCAGGGCAGTTGGCGTTGCAAAGCGATGCAAAAGTCATGTGTAAGGCCGAAGGCGGTTTCGGATAACACTTTGACCCGTTCGTATGGTGTCCGTTATCCGAGACTAACTCGCTCTTGTGCAATTATAGCTGCAAACGTATTCCTCGGCCACCCCGGCAGCGAGTGCGATCAGGTGTATCGCGATAATGGCCGGATATTTTCGCGGATCTCGCCTCGGTAATAACGCCGAGCGAGTCGCATTATTATCGCATTGCTAGAGTGATTATCAGGTGATTCCCGTGCAGGTAACAATTATTACATTTATTTGTATAATAATATAAAGAGAGAGCACTACACACTCTGAATTCAATATATTTGCTATCTTTTTTCCCTAATATTATTGTAATTCGGAGAAATTTTGCAACGGCAATAATATTAAAAACAATAATAATAAATAATTTTGTTGACTCCTCGAAAGAAGTTGAAATGACAAGACGTTAAGTATCAAGCGAGTAAGATATGCATTTAAAAAATTCATCAATCAGTCGTTGCCTCTACGCTGAGAAAAATGTCCGATTAAATATTATCGAATATAACCGAATTGAAGCAAATGTAACATTAAAATATCTTCTAACAGTAAACGTTCTAAAAGATCAGAAATAATAGATAACAATAAAGCTCACTTATGCGTCAAACAAAAAATAAATGCATTGATAGAGTTATTAAATAAAAAATTAAAATATTAATTATTAGCCATTCATTCTGTATTAATTAAATACTACTCTCTAAATTATATGTAATTAAAGAATATGATTCTTGAAGAACATATATTTCAGAATTGAAAGTAGTGAAAAATATGATCGGTTTTTCGGTCAAATTTCATCGGTAACTGCATTTTATGTACGTAATTTAATCGGAAAAATTAACCATCGGAAACACTATTTAATTGGTTTATCCGATGGATAATGTTCTCAGTGTATTAAGCTTATGCCAAATTTATAACATGAAATGCCACATATATCGCTTTCCGTTAATTTTGTTAAGCTTGTGGAAACGAATGTGTAAGAATGAAAGAAGCACCGGTTAAGCAAACGAAAATAAAATAAAATCCTTGCAACAATGCGTCAGGAAGAATGGCTTGCGCATCGATTCTTTACATCGCTGCCATCTATACCCTTTATCGCATTTCCGGGCCATATTATGTCTAGGGTACTTGCATACGGTGTAAATAAATACTCCATATCGTGGGGTGTCATCAAGAAACTCCAGTCAGTCGTCTTGTGTGTAAGATACGGTGATACTTCGCGCCTTCAAGCCAGTGCCGAGATTGAGCTGCGAAATGTCGGACTGAAATTTCTCTGTCTAAAAAAAAAACACTATGTAAAAAACGAAAATTGAGTGACGTTTCCCGTGTCATCGGTTAATCAGAACTTAATCATAAAAATGTTGCACAAAGCGCGATCTTTAGAGTCGCGGTATCAACGAGAGTGATACAATGTGTCAGAGAGTATTGGAAAAAATTATTTTATTTTATATACGCATACGTAAAAAATAACTGTGGGATTGAAGCGAATGTAACATTAAAATACCTTCCAACAGTGAACGTTCTAAAAGATCAGAAATAATAGATGACAATAAAGCTCACTTATGCGTCAAACAAAAAAATAAATGCATTGACAGAATTATTAAATAAAAAATTAAAATATTAATTATTAGCTATGCTTTATTAATTAAATACTCTCTAAATTATATGTAATTAAATAATATGATTCTTGAATAATATATATTTCAGAATTAAAAGTAGTGGCTGTGAAATATATCATAAATAATGCTCTGTTATACAAATGTTATCCAATCACGCCGTCTGACTTGGTGATTTGTGAAGCAAGTAGAATTTCCTGTGAAGAGATCTTCGCAAATGAAATGGCGACCATATTAAATCCTCGGATTTGGGATTAAGTGTATAACTCAACAGCCTTTTTGTGAAATATGCGCGTTGTGCTGTCGGTAAACGGAGTGTAAGAACTTTGTAAAATGCCATTGAAAGTATTATGCTCCGTTTATCAACAGTACGGTGCGACAGGATCATCTGCTGATCGATCGGGAGGGCACTTTGCGTTTGATTTTTGCGGCTCCCATATCCCAGCATAACACAGCCGTGTCGTTACGAGAGGCATTATGCTAGGAATATGCGGTGTCGTGAATGTATACCAATTCCACGTGACGAAAATATAGGAGTTTCGCTTACAAGCCGCACGACATGTAAATACTTAAATATTCAAATATTAAGTTAGGTGCGTTCGAGGATTATAGATTACATTGTCTCTTCCATTCGCACCACTTGCGAGGCCAGGAGAAGAATACTCGGCGATTGTATATTTTATTTGCAAACTTGGGACGCGAACGATAGCGACGATGTGTAATTGCCGTGATTACGGTGAGCATCTCGTTGTTCGTCAAATGCCATTCAATAAAGCGGAGACACGTCCGCTCGCACCAAAGAGTCACGTCAGTGACGCGTTCGCAGCATCGAAGAAATCTTCTGCCGATTCACCGAGGTTATCCATCTCTGCGACCCCGTTACATTTATTTCTACGTACTGTCAATGTATCTCGATAGCAACGCGACGACAATTTGCGCGAGGAACTCGCCGAGAGCGAATTCGCAATTAATTTCGCTCGCGCGGTGACGTTTTTCCTCATGTCAAGAACGAGTCGCGTCTCTCGTGTGATCGCGCGACAGAGAGGCAAGAGGGAGAAAGTCGCTTTAAGTTTTTGGTAAGTTCAATTTTCAATTGTTAACTTTTTCCAAACGTGTTATACGTATAAATTTGAAAAAAAAATAGGAGAAAAACCGAACGTGATAGTCGCGTGACAAAGCATATTGAGCGAATAATAATAATATATAACAATGAAGTTAACGTCTCACAAATATAACGACCAGCTAATTATCCAAAATAAAAATATCTCACAAAATCATTATATTTTACTCTGTTTAAAGAATAAGTTTTTTCTCTCGCCATTTTGTAATTTTCTGTAATTTCCTCTGACCGTACTAACGTATCTTTAGTTTAAATTGATAAAGCTAGACTTATTATACTCCACATTTGTTGAATCCTTGCGGAAATCCTCGAGTTTGAGAAGCTTAAGCTAATTTGTAACAAGCCTTGGTATACCAACAGGTAAATACGGCTTCGACTTGCGCGTAAATAGTTATAATCTCCGTTATCACATAGATAAACACAGATATTATTTTGTCACGTATCGCAATCTATATCATCGAGGATACTACCCGTATTAATCTCAGAGAGGCGGGATCTATCGAAATCGGTGTCTCACCGGTCTACGACAATACAAATTCGTTGAAAGATCAAAGAAAATGCGCGTGGCCGTCATAGGCGCTGGTGTAATAGGAGTAACGAGCGCGTTCGCGGTGAAAAGTTCCTTCCCGAGCTACGATGTAAAGATTTTCGCCGACGTATTTTCACCTGATACCACTGGCGACGGAAGTGCCGGCTTATGGGGTCCTTTTCTCCTCAGCGACACACCTGCCGAGGACATAAGGTAAGTTGATTGCAGCTGTAGGAAATAAAAGTGAAATCGCGCGTTAAATGAGGTTCATGTAAAAGAAAATTTCTCCTTTCGAAGAAAAATACACTAACATCGAGTTTCCTTCATGTTGACTGCTTTCACGTATCGTAAATATAGATCAGATAATGGGCCATTTAGTACAGTCAATAAATAATACAATAATTAATCGCATGGTGTTATGCCAGTCGATGGGCTGGCAGTACACATAAGTGGCTCGAACAATTGTGGAAAGCCGGATTATCATCGGAAACGGGTGTCTCCCTGCTGCCTGTAACTCGCGTCAACAGCGATTACGAGGACGGCGCCGAGCCATTCTGGGCGAAACTCGTCTATGGCTTCCAAAAAATAAGTGACCAACAATTACAACGCTTGAACGAAGAACACAAGTCTAATTACAGGTACGTTTTCAGCATTATATCTTAAAAGATTCAATGATATAAATAAATAGTAATTATTATGAATACAAAATCTGAACAAATTGCCTTATTCTTTTAATTACCGCTTGTGGTTATCGCTGTTTCTCTCGTTTGATCGTTTACCAAGGTTTAAAGTTAATTGATTTCAGACAAGGTTGGCATTTTATAACTTATACCGCCGAACCGGTTCTGCTACTACCGTGGCTCATGGAAAAGTTCGTTGCCTTGGGCGGAAAAGTGGAGAGAAGAAATATTAAAATGTTGCACCAATTAGCCGAAGAAGGATATGACTTAATAATAAACTGCAGCGGGCTCGGTGCACGAGAACTCGTCGCGGATAAAGCAATGACGCCTATCAGAGGTCAGGTGTACAGGGTAACTGACTCTCCAATTTACATCGCATATCTCCGTCTTTTCAGACAGATTTAATGAGAAAAATTTTCATTGGATGAATCGATTAAGTAGCGTTTTCAAGGAAAAATTAATCAACGGTTTTTCTTATTAAGTTTTTCGAATAAATTATAGATATATTCGATGAAATTTATTCTATAAAATTGCAGTTACCGATAAAATATTTTTCCTCGGATATACAATTTAATTGGATATATCCGTTTGTTATTATGTAATTGGATTAATCGATTGTATTTAATCGGACATTTTTCTCAGTGTAGGAAATAGCTGGTCGAAACGTAAAATGCCCTTGTGGACGCCGGGGAGTTGGCTGTGAAGGGTGAGGAGAATCTATCGTCGCGGCCATCTTGGTATTAGATATTTAGTGTCTATTGTAACATCATGAGGCATTATATGGCGTTAACTATTGCAGTAATTTCTATTTTCCGATTCTAGGTATTAATTTCCGATAAATATTAAAGTTATGACTATTTGATATGTATATATGAATGTTTATTTGATATGTGTTTACGAATATTTACGTAAAAATTCTTCGAAATGCTGAAAAATTCTTGGAAACGCTGAAAAATGCTTGGAATTTTCGAGACTCTCAAGTATTGCCATCTTGATACCTCGTGTCCGTTACGATAGACATTTCATTTCCCTCGCCCTTTGTGGACCACCCCTGCGATGGAAATTTTTCTCAGTGTAGTTGTAGAGTAATTCTTATTCGTTTATATATTCAATGTATACGAACTTAAAAATATTTTAACGCTGTCGCTTAAATGCTAATCTCTCCCACTGAAAATGGACAATGTTCTCTGTTCTGCTATTTTCACCGTGTGTTTAATATGTCATTCTTAAAATATTTCTTTGCCGAGAAGTAAAGAGAGCTAACTTAGGGATATTTATTTAAGGTGAAAGCACCTTGGGCGATGCACTGTATTTTGGTGGACGATGACGCCTGCAATTACATCATCCCTAAGTACGTATACAGCATTAATAATGCATATTTATTGGCAGCGACGTTTACTACTTTGTAATATCTGCCCATAGCATCCACAGCGTTGTAATAGGCGGCACGCACCAAGAAGGAGACTTCGATCGCTCCGTACGAGAGGAAGATTCGAAACATATTTATGATGGGTGCTGCCGCATAATGCCGTCTCTAAAGGTTCCCCGAGATACTCGGCGTAAATTTAAATTAAGGAAAGACTGACAATTTCCCAGAATAAATGGCGATTGTAATTCCCGTTCGCAGGCAAGTGAAATAATGCGCGCTTGGGTGGGCCTCCGACCAGGGCGACCGCGAGTTCGTTTGGAGTGCGAGAGTCTCAGCTCGCCTATGGGAAAAGAGTTCAAGGTAAATTGCCATGAGATATTATACGTTAACTATACAGCGAGAGCATATATATATTCCGAGCTGAACTTTAATGCATCATTATTCGAGCGGCTAAACTTTACGGTTGCTTCCTATAACGCTTGTTTCGTGCTTTATATTTCAGGTGATACACAATTACGGCCACGGCGGAAGTGGCGTGACGCTGAGCTGGGGGTGCGCCATGGACGTCGTGGAGATGATAAGAAACTCGAAAGTACCCGAATTAAACTCCAAACTGTAACTTCAGGGACATAATAAACTTTTTAGCCTTCGTACATTTTTACCCGCATCGTTGCGGGGCGTTTAACCTTGCTCGATTCTTGCCTTTTATATCACCCGAGGAAGATTGTATCGTTAAAAATAATTTTCTATTTTTTTCTTCTTATTTAATTCTTACGGGCGAAATTTTAGATTTAAAATAAAATCCAAATTGTTTCACCGAACGAGTGTTACTGTCGAGAACTCTTCTCTCGATCCTCACCGCTTGTATCCGTTTGACGCTTGATCGATACTTTTGTAATTCTTACTTTAGACCTGCCTGTTTCGCATAACAACGGCAAAAAGTCGTGAAACATAATTAAACGTCAAGAAAACGAACGTAAACGCGCGAGCGTTCGATCTGCGCGGGGCGCACCAACCTATTTAAAGTTTCGTGTCGTGATCACTTCCGTAATTGTACAATTTCTAAATATGGTCGTCGGGTTGTAATTAAAGCACCAAACTAACTTACCGAGATACCTTACATGTCGACCATGCCGCAGTAGTCGCGTAAAGCCTAGACGTTGGTGACGCGTGTCCCTCCAGTCGCAGTACAAGTTATATTGGCCTCACGAGTTTCCATTCGCGACAGCACCTAACGTTTTACCGTTGCCAAAATTAAACAGGAAGATCGACAGGTACGCCCGTCAATATATAAAAGTGTCTAGTTCATATATAAATCATACGTTTGATAAATTTCAATCTATATTTCTTCTCCAAAAGTTCTTCACGTTCTTTGTAGAGGAACGTGCTATACTGTACCTTTAATATTTAGCACACGGAGAGAATTTTTTTCATAAAATTCACCCTGAAAATTATGCAATTGTGGGACAACATGGCATTTTGAACAACTTTATAAGAATATTTTTTAATTTTACCATACATTTTACTAGTAAAATTTACTATAAAATTAAAAAATATTCTTCTGAATCTGAAATTTTACCATACATTTTACTAGTAAATTTTACTATGGTAAAATTTCAAAACAACTCTCATAAAATTCGAAATTCTGTGCTGTCCTGTAATTACGTGATTTTCAGGATAAATTTGAAGAGAAAATTCTCTCCCTGCAGTAATTATACATTGTGATGATATGTGTGTAATGAACGAAACATATTTTTATGAAATTCAAATTATAAATCCGAAAAGGCGTAACATCTACTTATAAATTTGAATACCGAAGTATGTACAAACTCGAACACTGACTGCCGGGAGTTTCACGGAAAAGCTAAGGGTAGAAATCTTGAAAACGATAAACGACAGAGGGTTATCAGTTTGTAGGACCTTTTGTCAAAGAGAATTGTCACTATTTCGAGTACCAGTCGACGAGAGATATCGATTAAATCGTGTCTACGCGGCGAATGCGAGAGGGATCAAGTTCGGATCGAATTTGACGCGAAATTGACTGACAGCGCGATTGAAATAATCGAATAATGGAAAGCAGCAGCGGTCATGATCGTCGATGAGTACAGCGATAAGTGTCCGCTGGTGACTTTGCGCGATTCTAAAAACGGCAATTCCAGAAACGAGGGCGTGATAGACGGCGAGAGTGTCGGCAAGTCCGAGAAGCGATCCTGCAAGACCGCGTTTCAAGATCGGAAATACGTCGGCCCCGGCGATTCCTCGGACGCCTTATCGCCCGCCAACGACAGAATAGGTGTTACCAAGCATGATTTCGAACGGTATCATTGGAAGATTACCACGGGCAAGAGCAGTAATACAGGTATTCGTTCAATTCGAGAAAATTGAGAGAAGGCAAATTCGAAATGACAAGTTTTAGTAACAAATTACAGTTTCAATAACAAAAATCCGTAAAAAGTTGTTTCAGCGATTGCTGCAACATTTAACTTTTAAACTTAATATTGACTCTGTAAAAACGTCATTCTCTCAATGCGCTCGAAGTCTTCCAAGTTTTTCACGTCCGAGTATTATTTTACGAGCCGTTAAATAATAAAACTTTCCGAATAGACGCGTTATGCGAGGGAAGCGGCGACTCGGAGCGGCGCAAGGAGGACGTGGAAGAACCGTCGAAGACTAGGAAGAAGAGAAAGCGGAGGTACTGCGACGAATGACGCGTTTCCCGTTTGGGAGTCGGCATTGACTTTTCGATTTGACCAAACAGATTTTTAACAATCTGCACGGCGAACTGCAAATACGACGTGGTTAGGCGCGTGGCCGCGCGGTATGGGATGAGAGAAGTCACGGAGGACAGCAGCTGGGATCTCTATTGGACCGATCTAAGCGTCAACGTAGAGCGTGCCAAGGATATGAGGAGATTCCAAAGGGTCAATCATTTCCCCGGGATGACGGAGATATGCAGGAAGGATCTACTCGCTCGTAATCTCAATCGCATGCAGAAGCTGTTCCCGAAAGACTACAATTTCTTTCCGAAAACTTGGTGCTTTCCCGCGGAGTAAGACCACACATCTTAATGATTAGAATCGTTATCTAATAATAAAACCTCGGCATTAGAACAATTTCGTTAATAATATTCCCTTGTCTCAATTGACAAAAGGTAATCCTCGAGATTAAATAATCTCGTGGAATACAAACCGTACAATTTGGCCATGCGTTTTGTCATAATAAATATATAAAATATTTTTCTCCATACACATCTCTCGCGGATAAGATATTGTACATGGTCAATAATTGCACGGTTTGTTTAACGTATCTATCGTTTGGAATCTAATTGAAAGTTGATATCGCGGTGGAATCATATTTCTTCGGTAACAATAATCGTAGACAACGAGATAAAATATCATATGGTAATTCTATGAATCAGTTTCACGTGTCAGAATAAAGAACGCCGTATATTGATCCAAAGCCCTCTTATCTATAATATTTTACAAGCGCGAGGCTCTCGTACGTGTAAGTTACACTCTGTTCGGCTTCTCTGAACGACCGCTCTCGTGTTACCGGTCGTAAATTCCAAGGGTTCGCCATTACGGCGATAAAGAATAATCAATATTTCCCGAAGTCGATGAGCGTGTAATCAGATCGGAAATTCTGAATTTCGGTTTCCAGTCACGGCGACGCGACGGCTTACGCCAAGACGCGGAAGTCGAGAACCTTCATCCTCAAGCCGGATATGGGCTGCCAAGGGCGTGGTATTTATCTAACGAAACACATAAAGGACATCAAACCGACCGAGCGTTTGATCTGTCAAGTGTACATCGCAAGGGTACGAAATGTCAATCCTTTTCTGCAAGAAAGAAATTACTGGAAGTTTGCAGAAACCGAGCTCTCTTTCTAAATAAGAAAAATTTTCCTTTGCATGTTTCTCTTTCCCCTTACGTGGGAGATTCTTTGAAATTCGTTCAGATTTCTTTCCGACGAATATGCGCGATCGTAATCAAAAACTTTGCAGTTGCAGTGCAAAGCAAGTTTAATGCATACAATCCTTTTTCTTACTACGTCCTTAGCCCTTCTTAATAGACGGATACAAATTTGATCTACGTATTTACGCACTAATTACGTCATGCGATCCTCTCAGGATCTATGTGTACAATGAAGGGCTCGCGAGGTAAGACATGCACATTAGATTAAAGAAATAGATTTCGAGGAACAAATGTTACGATACATATTCTATTGAGTATTTTTTCAATTATTGAAAAGTACGAATGCACTTATTTTTCGAAATTGCATATTCCGACTGGAAAGTGCGAAACTGATTTGCGTTTTCAGATTTGCTACGAGCAAGTACAAGGAACCGGCCGGTCACAACATTTCAAACATGTTTATGCATTTGACGAATTACTCCGTTAACAAGTACAGCCGAATGTACATCATCGACGACGAGATTGGTAGCAAGAGGTTCGTGTTGTATCGGATCGAATAGCGATAGAGCATCAGTCGATAGCAAACTATTTTCATTACAGAAAAATATCAACGTTGAACAAATGGTTAAAAGCGCGAGATGCTGATGTGGACGAATTGTGGAGCAAGGTCGACGAAATTATAGTTAAAACAGTCATCTCCGCGTATTCCGTATTGAAACATAGTTATCACGCGTGCTTCTCGGCGCACAATAAGACTTGCGCATGTTTCGAGCTCTTAGGATTCGATATTTTGCTCGATTGGAAGCTCAAGCCTTACCTTCTCGAGGTAAGCCTTCGAGAGAACAATATGTAAAAGGAACAACTATTAAATATCCTCTACATTTAGTAAATCTATCAGGTAAATCACTCGCCAAGCTTTCACACAGATGCACAAATAGATAAAGATGTAAAAGAAGGACTGCTGATGGACACCTTCGATATATTAAATCTACAACAATGTGATAAGAAGAAAATAATTGAAGAAGATAGAAAACGAATCAGAGAGCGACTTCTGCAAGGTTTAAATGGGAAAGATCTCAGGCAAGTGGAATATATCAGAGAATATGGTAACTTATAAAAAAATGATCTTCACTGCATTAGTAATCTGCATCTTACAATAATTAATTTCCACCAATGCCCTGCAAAACTCATTAGTAAAAAATAATGTACAATTACAAATATTTTTTCCAGTCATTATGTAAAATACGCGATGCAAAAATTAAGTTTAAATTTAATTAGTATGCCAAAATATCTATCGACAGTGTCTTGTTTTACCAAAAATAATATATAGAACTTAAAAGATTGCAGACCTCTACTATAAAAAAATTTGTTATAGCAAGAATTTGATAGTAAATCGAAATGTTACAATGCGCAGTCAAATGAACGAGACGGCAGCTTTGATAAAATCCGAGAGAAACGAGAACGATTACACGCAGAGGCAGCAATTTCAGTGGGAGGACGACCACGTGGGCAATTTCCGAAGAATTTATCCGTGCTTTGACAAGGATACATACCAGCCTTTCTTCACGCAGAATGCCCTTTCCGTTTTCCAAGATACGGTAGCATCGAGAGCGCGAGAAGAAGCATCAAGAATAGATAGAGAGGAGAATGAAGTAAATTTTTCTTCCATTCACGATTTAATGCCCTGAAAAATTGACAGATGAATTTTGAAACAGTTCTTATTAATGTTACGTTTCCAAATTATTGCCACAATTTTTATATAAAATAAAATACTTTTACGAGTTCAAAATGTATGATATCGTAAAGCTTTTAACAGAGTTATTACTCTGAGCAAAGTTTTATAATATTCTATCATTTTTTTAGTAATACAAAACTGCCAATCATTATTTCTCAATCAGTCCATTTCTCGTTTCCTTTATTTCAGCTAAAAGCTAGAGAGGAAGAACGTAAACGTACAGTCGGGAAGTGGAGCGAACAAAAATTAGGTCCTGAAAGTTCAAACGCATCGAAGAAATTACAGGAAAAGAGCAAATCCGCAGGCGTAACGAGGAAAAACGTTAGTCTACAAAGTGGCTAGATAATTTTATTTAGTCAAACTGTTATTCATTATATAAAGAAGTGCCCCGTTATCTCTCTGATAAAAGACTATTAGCGAAAATTAAAAGAGAATAATTACCTCCCATTAGAAAACGTACGACGACTCGACAGAAATTAAATGGGATGTTAAATGAGATGGGATATTTTTCCTCCATCTCTCCGAGGAAAAGCAAGCACATTAACATCGTCGCTTTTTCGCAGATCAATAAACAGGACGCACAGGGATCTCCTACCAACGCCCTGTACTCCTTCGAGCCTGAAATCATATCGGAGTCTGAGGAGAGGGAACGAATAACGGCTCTGGCGCAGAGGGATTTTCTCATCAAGAGCTACGGCATGCTCGAGCAGATATACCTGGCGATGAAGAGAAACGGCATGTTACGACCCGCCGACGAGAGAAAGTATGGATTGTATGGCAGACTGGGATTACAGGCAAACACGAACCACAGCACATGCTCCTCTTCGCACAAGCCCCATCATCGTCAAAATGGCCATCTGGACGCGCAACCAGCCGTGGACCAATGCCTGCAATGTTCCCTCAAAGGGAATGAAGTAACTATATTTTCGTCAATCGAGACACTGCTTACATATATGAAAATTAGATTCAGATTTTACAATAAGTTCTTATAATTTGTACTATTTTTTTGCATTTATAATCTTTATAATATTTAAAGTGACTAAAGCATGGTCCCTTATTTCACTTTTTACATTTAAAGTGAAATGAGAGACAATGCATTTGATGACAAGTACTCGATAGATGTATGAGAGACATGTGCGACTTTTCCTTTCAGCACAAATCGGCGAAGCGTGAGTTTAAGAATTCAAACAGAAGTAAGCGTTCATGTTCATAATTGTGCGCAATATTCTGGAAATGGTCGCCCAGTTCTGTATGCGTTTTAAATTGTTATCCCTTAATTCAGGCTTGTGGATAACATGCAACGAGGCAATGGTTTACGTTCGTCCGCAAATACCGCAAAATCTGTGGACGGAGGAAATTAATTCCAATAATCACATGGGACGGGTAACAAAGGCACACGTGGCCAGAACATTGTCGAACACCGTGCGGCTGCACACGCTTGAGAGAAGAGAATCTTTCCATTCGGCAAAATCTAAGTAAGCTGCATTTACATTTTTATCTGTTATTATACATAGAAATCTCTTCAATTTGTCAGTAATAAATAACAATAATCAAGCTTTTTAGTCGACATTAACCGGCCAGTGTTTTAATACAGAAAATTTATTGCGAAAAATATTACCTCAGCCGGGGTTTGAACCTGGACTTCCCTACTCACTAGGCGGGCGTCTCGCCACATGCCTCAGTGGTCGAATTGGTCGACTAAAAAGATTTATTACTGTTATAATTTATATTTTTATGATTATATAAATTAAAATATAATTATATATCAGGATAGAATTTATTACGACAAAATCCTTTTAGAGTTGACGTTGACACCCAGCACTAAAGATAAAGAAAAGCAAAAGGAACATACCACATGATACAATGACAAAGTTATATTGTCGAAAGATATAAAAGCGGAAGGGCATAAAAAAATTAATATAAAATTGACCACAAATTCAGACGGCTGTTATAAAGACAGCGCAATGTTGTGCTATTGTGCTACACACTACTGATATCGAACGCAAATGAAGATTAGTAACAATGAATAAGATTCGTATTGTTAGGAAATACAATTTCATATTAAATATATTACACATATCCCTAGAAAATAATTCCTCAGTTAGAAAATAATTCCGCGTTAGAAATACTTCGTTAAATAAAATTTCAGTGGGAATTTTAATCGAGAAGTAAAATGAACTTTATTCAACATCCAGGAATCCAACGAACTTCGGGACGCGTCTCGGTTTGTGTGCGAGTGTGCGTGTATGTGTGTGTGAGCGGATGCCGTTTCAAGGTAGAGAACAGTAATCTAAAAATCAACAATGTATCGACTTGTTATTTAAAGTGCCATATAAATATGTACAATAGATATATAAGTGAACATGTACACGTCGCATAAGAGTGGGAATTAGGTACGCGCCGGTGCGTATGTATAATAAAATGGTCATACACACGTACGTAGACGCCAGTCTATAATATGTATAACAATTTTTATTGCTGATATATATTCTGTATTCACATGATAAAAAATAATCTATGAACAATTTGTCGCGTGCTGGTTTTTTGCCCCCGTTCGTGATATCGCGTCCATGTCGTTTTGTCGCAGCGTCTCAGTCGCCCTCTCCTCAGCTTCTTCTTCTGCCTTCCTTTTTTTTTCTCGACCATTAGTCTTATCGCGTCTTCGTGTCGCAATCGGTAAATCGAGCCTGCGGTGGACGCGTGTTTCGAGAGTATTACGACATAATCGAAAATCCAAAGTTTTAAAGTTTCGAAGTCGGGATAACAATAATCCGCAATTTTATACAAAATAATACTGTGTACCATGTGTAGAGTTTGTGTGTGTGCGTGCGTGTGTGTACTTTGTGTGTTCGTGGTGTGTGTAAAGCGGTGCGCCGAACTGACAAGAGTGTGCGTTGCTCTCTCTTAAATTTATAACTCGCGGTCAGACTTCCTTAGTTACAATTTTCCTTTCACCCTCGGTCATAAAACGTAACTGCATCAAATAATAGCGACACTTCGCAGAAATCCACGCACGTAGGCGATGTAACGTCGACTGTAAACTGCGCTATGTTACGTCATTGTAAGAACAAGAATTAGTGCGAAATACATCCAACACATTACGATCGATGAATCTGTCTTCTTTTAACGTGATATATATTATTTACATAAAACCACTGTGCGACTGCGGCAAATATTTGCGCGTCTTTCTCTCTCTCTCTCTCTCTCTCTTTCTCTCTCTCGCTCGCTCGTACGTTCTCTCTCGCTCGCTCTCTCTCTCTCTCACTTGATTCCCACCATATTAAATCTTAGATATAGAAAGGCTTATGTACATAAAGTCAATAGATATTTATACGATAGCCTATATTATACCGCTTATAAAAAAAAGACCAATAAATGTGTATATCCATGCGAAATATTTCCATCTCCGTTTAAAAAAATCGTCATATGTCTCGGCATATATACATATTTCCTGAAAATAAAGGTAACTGCATTTAAAGAGAGTGCAATGAGACAAACAGTGTGGACACATATAAAATGCATTTGTTTCGAACAAATTTTTACAAGAGGGGGTTAAACTACCGTCGTGAAACACACAACTTAAATTCGTTATTGGCAAGCGAAGAAAGGAATTATTACGCGACATGTAATTGAGATGGGCTCACTTTGTGTCACGAATGAACGTACAATAATCGTCTTTAAAATAATATAATCACTTACGGCTTAATTCTGTGAAAGATGAATATTATCTTTAGTTACTTAAATTACAGCTCATTTTTTGTACTAAAAAATGATTACATCTGCTGGTTCGGCCATTGATAACGTTATCCGTATGAGTGTCTTTGTAAATCGCTTAATCCTTTGCATTTTAACCTTCGTGATAAAAGCAATGTTAACAGATTTTAGCGTGACCTTCTTACCCGTGCGAGAAAATACAGAAAGAAGATATGTGAAGATGGTATCCTATTCGTTGTAATACTAAAATATGAGCATTATATAGGATCCTGTGTATGTTACTCACATGTAATATGTGTTAAAAACGATTATAGTAAAACAAGCTTAAGGCATGAATTATACGGAGATTTCGCGAGTAAAAACAATTTAATTTTAGATTAAGAAACTGACACATTATAAAATTCATTTCTTGATCCAAAATTAAATTCATTAATTTTACATGCAGCGTAAATTAGCGAATTGGTCTAATCGAGGTACAATAGATTACTAATTTCAATCAAGATTTTCGCTGTTCGTCAAATCAGATCTCCGTTTAATACAGGCATTAAATGATATATATATATGTATATATATATATATCTAGCTAATATTTCATATACATATAAAAAACTATACAATCCGTAGATGATAATTTTGTATTAGCTGCCGACGGAATTCAATTGTTTTGTTTTAACAGTTAATATCCTGACAATATTCCCGACGATTTTTTCTGTTCAATATTCATATCGATACTGTAAACCTGGTAGACGCGAAGATTATATCTAAGTTAAAATTGTTTGCACAGATTCCTTTATCATGAAGTTGAGAGACGTGACTTTGTCTTATTTCGACATAGCTTGAATTCAATAACGAATTTAGCTCAATGCAACTCGAAGTCTGTTGTACATACATTAATTTTCCTAAGAGTTAATAGATATAATAGGCGTTCTGAAATGCCTAACTACCAAATGAAATAATTGTGTCGAGCATCTCATTAATTCAACACTTGCACGCACACTATGGTATGTCTTTAAGACATTTTGTGTACAACAGTCTTCACGTGCACTACTCAAATTTACTATACATACTTTTCAGAGATGATGATAAATTCAGACAAATTGCAATCTTAAAAAAAGCAAATACTAGCAAAAAAGACTAATTTGCGGCACAATTCCGAAAGTGTTACGATTTTAATCAGTATTTAACAATTTCGTTTTATTTTTATTTCAGCTCTGCCGAAATATTAGAGGCTTACGCCGATTCTATTTCCTATTCGGATTTCTATTGGATTATAAAATCTTCTATTATAGTAGAAAAATCTGCATGTTAATCAGTCAAATAAATTCCTGTTGTGTGTGCAAGCAATCCCATTAAAGATTACTTCATAAATAAAACATTATTTTCATAAAAACTCTTTACACAACTTACAAAAGATATTTCTTATATCCTAATTTAACCGCGCAGTTAAATTAAGAGTTTAAACCATGGCAACAATATTATATAAACAATCAAATTATGGTTAATATAAAAAAAATAAAAATTATTACTTAAAAGATTGGGTTTCAGCATTCAGTTTGCTTATTGCAAATTCGATTACATTAATATTGGCGCAAATTGTAAAACCTGTTATACATTAATTCATCTAAATGTAAAAACATAAACATTTTGATGAATCATAAACTGATAAAATAGCAACTATACTATTACCAAATATGATTCATCTATTTATATACTACATTTATGTTTTTTCATTATTTATGTATAACAGCTTTTAAATATGTACTAACAAATGTATTACTCAATCAACTGAATTTTCTATTAGCTCTTCTGAAAAAATCAAAGGCAAATTATTTGCTATTTACGAAAAAATTTCAGATATATTATTTGTATCTTCTATAATATATTATTTAAACACAGAAAAATGTTTAGTTAAATAAAAATTTCTTTGCTTTTAGTTTAATTTGGAAAAAATTTGAGTAATGAAATAGGCTAGATATCAAAAGTAAAATTTACCATGGTATTTTTTATACTAAAATATGATATATAAAAATATAAGAATTGCAGCATATTAGGTTTATCGAGGCGTTCCCATTACTGCATTTGGGTTTAATTCCGTTTCTTGAATAGAATTGGTTTTCCATTCGTGCTTGTATTAAGTCATACACTTAAATTTAATAAAACATGTAGCTTTAACAATAAAAATAGGACTTGTGACAAGCTCTTATGTCAATCATCTTCGATCAATCGGTGTAATTTGTATCACAATAAACATATCATCTGCATGATAAAGGCGATATATTTAGTATTTGCAATAAATCAAAGATAATTTAATATATGAATTTTTGTATACGTCATCCCAAATATATCAATATTAATGCTCATAATATATCATATTAATGGTCCGGATATTTAAAAATCATAATTGCTCGATGACTCTGATGACAAATGGTACTCGTACAAATCAATTGATAAAATTAATACTACAAACCACATTTAAATATCAATTGCGTAGATGATAACATTTATTATGATGTTTATAAGGAACGTTTATATAGGATAAAACAAAGACGATGCAAAATTGTTCGTGGCTCGTCTCAAATATACATCTTACGTCTGCTTTGATAATAATACCAAACGAATGTACGTATCATTAATTTAAAATTAAATGCAATTAATCGTAAAAATATTAAGTCCTTTGCGGTTCTTAAATATTTCTTACGTCACTCAAAGTGAATATTTTCTTTTAAATATTTTTTAAAATATTCTAAACCGTAAATCCTTTCAAAATATTTTGTTAATTTTTCCAGTAAAATAACATCTGCCAAGATTCAATGTGAAATGATATTAATTCCATAATTTTGTGTATGAATCCATTTGTCATGAACAGATTTCAAAGTAAAATGACATTTGAATATTACTTCTGCTCTTTCGTCAATACAACTTACAATGATATTCTAATATTTCAACAAGTTAGAGCTAAGTTATCAACAAACAGTGTGTTTTTATATTGAATGCACGACTTCGCACGTGCATTAATATGTATCATGTGCTAATGTGTGTTTGTGTTGCGTGTGCTCGATTGCACACGTATATGTGCGTATACCACATATAAACGCTAACAAATAGTCACTGGAGCGTCGCATGAACGACGAGACACGAAGTGTTATGGTTTAAACTTAACCAGGGGTATGTTCTTCGATTGCAAACACTTATCACACACCCATTCAGCGTAGATCTCTGCCGTTAATAATTGATAAGCGTATTCTGACAATCCCGTGCAGTTCCTGAAATAATCGCGTTGTTGATACGCACGTTTTCTATTACGAAATCATTATTTTAACGACTTGCGACATTATCATTTTAGTGACTCACCTATGAAACCAAAAATTACAACCTGATTCGCACAAAATTGCCTGATCATTGTCATGCACTTCTTTATGACAAATTCCACAGGGATAAATCGGTGGCGCATTAGGATTTTGTGGATTAAATACCATTGACTGGTCTGGAGGATATATCTGCAAGAAATCAATTAATTATAAATAAACTTGTACAATTTACACGCTGCTCTAAATACAAAAAAAACCTTTCACGTTATATCAATTATATCATACATATAATTACAAGTAACATAATACTCGATAAAAGGATAACTTACTTTGCCCGCAGAAATTGGCATTGGCTTTGGACCCATCCCCGGTGGACCTTGGAATCCATGTGGCGGCATAGACCCTCCCATGGAATTAATAGGATGTCCCATTGGCGGTCCACCACCCATGTTGTTGGACATAGTGCCCATCGGACCTGCCATATGACTGCCCATTTGATTGTGATGACTAATGTTCATATTAGACATACTACTCATTCCCGGGCCACCCATATTCATGTTGTTTATCTGATTTGGTCCAGTCATATTCATGTTGTTCGACACCATCGAACTCATGGTAGTCATAGGTCCATTCATAGGTCTTCCTAAGTTGTTAAGATTGTTTCCCATGTGATTCGGATGAGGCTGAGATCCATTGTGCCCTAATGGGCTGTTCACATTGTTCAATGACGGCCCATTTAACGGACTGTTGGGCGGTATATGGCTATGGCTATTTATGTTGTTCATATTCATTGGTCCGTTAGGCATGTGATTAGATCCTCCCATGTTCATTGGAGAACCTAAGGGTCCACCCATAGGGCTACCCATATTGTGGCCCATGTTGTTCATTGGGCTACCCATAGGCCCACTATTCATGTTATTCATCGGACTACCCATCGGTGGACCACTTAGTTGCGAATTCCCCATATGACTCATATTCATGTGATTGTTCATGGTGTTCATTGGACCAGGAGGCATGTTCGGGCCCATGTTATTCATGGGGCTCATGCCTCCGATAGGAGCATGATTCATAGGGGACATAGCACCCATATGATTCATGTGATTTGTCATGGGCGAATTGCCCATAGGACTCATATTGCCCATGTTATGTGGCATCATAGGACTCATGCCACCTATCGTGGTTAAAGGGCTCATGCCTCGCATAGGAGGGCCACCCATGTGATGCGGATGGTGAGGATGCATATGTGACGGCGCACCATGCATCATTGGGCTTTGCGTCGTTTGTGGTGGCGTGTCATCGAAAGGATTACTTGCTACTATCGTGTCACCGTAACCAGTTAAGGGCGGGGGTAGTAGATCCTGTTGAATAAATGTTGAATTAATATGGAGACCAGAATCGCGCTAATACAATGCATAGATAATAAAACCGAGTCAAGCTACCTGTACAGATGGAGGCTGTTGCGGAGGTGGTTGAGCAACGCTTGCATTTGTACGCCTTTTCTTTTTAGGATTAGCACCAGCTGGTGGTGGCGGTGGTGGATGGGGGTGAGCGGACGAGTCAGGATGTGGGGCATTGGGGCCCATGTTCACACCCATTCCCATACCCCCCAATGGCATCCTTGTGAAGGGTGGCATGCCCGCAATATTATGGCTCATCTCCTTCGCTTCCCTTATTTTATCATGCCAGCACCACTGGATTTTCGTGGCAAGTAACTATTTTTGATTCACTGAGAAACAAGTAAAAGGCATCTTTGTGATCTAACTTGAAGCGTTACATACAAACAATTTAATAAGCTATTTTATAAATATGTGTATATTATTAGTAATAAATATTTGCTGACTGATATTTGTGCCAAATTTTGTGAGTAGACAAATATTGATTAATAAACATGTTTTATATTATTAACAGGTTAAATGAGATCAAAGCTTAACTAAACAAAATGAATTTATGTTTAATAGTTACATCTCTCATGTTCAATAAAACAACTTATTACTTGTGATTGCTATAGATAAATACTGGCCTCGTGTATAAATATACCACGAGTTTGTACGTAAAGACGTATTTATACGTTTACTTGGAAAGATTATATAATTAACAAGTAGTTATTCACAAGTTTAAAAATTATTAAAATCTGTTCTCCACAGCCAATGCAGTTTTTTAGAGACATTGCAGTAAAACAAAGAATGTGACGTTTTAAATTTAATCCGAAACATCTTATCTTTCATTATTAATGAAAATTCGTACGGCTCAAATGTGTGATAAACACAAATTTAAAGGAATAAAGGACTAAGAGCGGTGACAGGATGTTAGCGTCTAAATATTTCACATTTTAAATTTATTGCGAAAAATATTATATCGGCTCTTAGTCCTTTATTCCTTTAAATTTGTGTTTCTTGCATTATTATTTACAACTGTCCCTCCTATCTTAATCTTAAATTTTCAACTCCCTGGCGATGGAAAAATCTTTCAAATCAAGTTCCCTTTTATACCGTATTGTTTACGGAACGATCCAATATTTCCTTCCTGTAACTGCTTACTGGAGAGCAGCGATTAGCGTTGACGTTATGACCAAAACGAAATCTGAACGATTGCGGTTCGTGAGCTCGTGCTCGTGAGAGAGATTATATCTCAAAATCCGTATGAAGAAAAGGAAAAATGGGGATTTAAATATCGCCGCACGTTACCGTAACGTCCGCTACGCCAATACTCTTTTTGATCAGCGCAGACTTTAAAGCCTGATCTACAATGTGCTCTTTGCGCCTAGAAACATTCTATTTTATAGCCAATTAACACGTTTAAAAAAACTTATGCGAGCCGATCAACTGCATATTATGCACTGCACAATCGTGCACTGTACACAAACATTTCCAGCGTACCGACACGCCTGTATAAAATAGAACGTTCCTCGTTGCGAAAAACACATTGTAGATCAGCCTCAATAATTGTACAGCGGAGACGCGAGGCATAATTAAAGACTGCATTCAGTTTTGCAAAATATCGCCCTGAGCACCGATTGGGAAACTTCCTTGGCGAGTCACGGACGGGACCGGGCGCAGCGTATACGGGGGAATACAGTCGCGTTTCGCGATAACGAGACATCCTTATCGCATCGTCGGCTCCATTAAAATTATTCTCGCGGCACGAGACTTATCATTTATAAACACGCTGGTGCGCGCGAGAGCGCGCGCGGGGTACACACGTAAACGTGTATACGCGCGCTGGTGTAAACATACATACCCGCATACGCGCGCGCATCCACGAAACCTCGGGGGCCCGCGTACGTATATCCGCACACCGTACGGCATACCGCCTCCCGCATTTACATATGCCGATATAAATAACGAAATTACTACCGTTACCTCGGGTGGCGCGCCAGCGGCCCGACCGTTCGTCCGTCACGAATGAGACGGAAGAATAGAGAAGACTGGGGAGAGAGAAAGAGAGAAAGAGAGAGAAAGAGAGAGAAGAGAGAGAGAGAGAGAGAGAGAGAGAGAGAGAGAGAGAGAGAGAGAGAGAGAGAGAGAGAGAGAGAGAGAGAAAGTCGGAGTGTGTGGGAGAAAGAGAGAAAGTGAGAGAAGCGCCTTTACGACACAACGCCGAGCGTGTCTTCGATAAGAGCCGCGGTGCAGCGCGAAATAGTGGAGACCCCGTCGCGCGGCGAACGCAAAAGGGAGCAAAACAAAACTCCGCCTCGCCGATCTCTCGCGGAGACCGACCTAACCTAACCAGCGAGGGCCCTCGCCGTCGGGCCTACTCGCGCGGGCGCCTCTCCGGGGTCGGGTTTACGCGCGTCCGCGGGCATTTAACGTGACGGCGCGTCGCAGGCGGACGGGCGGACACCGCGGGGACGACGCGCGACGCGCGACGCGCGCCAGGCGATTTAAAAAGCCGGCCGGGTTCGCGGACGCTCGAGGCGCATCGCGCGACCGAGAGGCATCGTACTCACCAACGCATTATAGCGAAGATCGCGACGACGCGATCGTGTGCATGGCACGGCCGTTTCCCTCGCCGGAGCAATACGCCGGCACTGCAAATTCCGCGCTGCGTCGAATCGCTGTTTAGCTGCTGATGCTGTCGCTGTTGCTGCCGCCGCGGCCGCCGCCGCCGCCGCTGCTGTTGCTGCTGCAGCGCTACTGCTGCTGCTGCTGGCCTCCGCGGGACGAGCGATCTGTCTGTACGCGATTCCGGCTTGCGCCTCGCGCGCAACGCATCTCCCACGGTGGCGCGAACGCGCAAATCCACGGGCGCGCGTAACACGGCCGCGGTAAAAACGCGATCTCGGCACTCGCTCGGCGTTGCTCACACGGCTGATGGAGCGAAGGTATCCGCCACACGCCACACGAGAACCATCTCAGGTCGCCATTGTCGCGTTACGCGTGTCCCCCCGCGCTGCTCTGTGTTGTGTCTCGGCCGCCGTGCGCGACCGCGCGCCACCGCTAGATGCCGACACCGCCGACACCGGTCCGACGGCGCGCCGAGGTCGAGCTTATCCTGCGGAGCGTACGTATATTAAGCACACGCCTTCGCATGTATTACAAAAGAGCAGTAATTGTATCTAAATATGCAAAATAGGCCTCTACTGGCTGTATTTATGTCTAATTTTATTTATTAAAAAAAGATCGGGGTTTGACCGACGGTAAACGGCGGATTCTAGATCTCGCGGTGACCCATGGTCGGCAAGGAAGCTCGCCGCGGAACGACCCCGTCGATATATCGCGCGCAAACACCAGTCGTTACAAGAGTGCGATACTTTCGTCCGCCGACTGTTTAAGAATAAAAGTAATTTGCGCGAACGCGAACAAGACCCGTCTCGTTTCATTTCCATGCGAATTGAGTTCCATCGAATCAAGTATTCAAAACGCGTCCGCGGGCTTTCCGAGAGCCCTGCGACCTCCCGCCCTTCTCTCCTTTTCAATATAAAATATCGGGTGCAGTATTTTAAAAGGGGGATTCCTCCATGACAACATTTTTAATATAAAATACACCGCTTCTCGTAAGACGGATGAAACTGGCGGATGAGCGCAACAACAAATACTGCTGCACGAAGAGACGGGATCTAAACGGTAAGTTCCGCACGAAGTAATGTTTATTCGCGTTACGCGCGGCATGCACGGTCGACGCAGGTGCGCGAAATTCGCACGCCGTGACACTCCTGGCAACGGCGCGGCGGCCGCCAGCTACCTACCATCCGCATCCGAGCTTAAAGCTGTCCCCGGCGTAGAATGCTCGCACGCATCGCTCTAATTATTTCAGTTACATCAGTGAGTTAACCCGGCTTAACAGCCGGAAAACAGCTCTCGCGACCCGTCTACTCCGGACAGTTGACCGTAGGACCTACCTACGCACGAAGAAAAGATTTGTCAAAAGAGCTAAATCGTAGCCAAGATGCGTCTTTGAAACAGGGACGGCTGATGTTGCTTACTAAACTGCAACGCTACTATTTTTAAGGAGGAGATTCGTCGACGATTTTAAGAAGGGATCCTCGCAACTATGAACTTTTTGAATTTAGACGCCGCAGTAAGAAACGTTGGCTGTCGGAAGCAAATGACATTACAAGTCGCACACTCGGAATCACGCGCGTAACGTATTTTGAAATACCTAGTCAACTTTGGCAATGGCATCCAAACGATTAGCCTTTCGTCTAAATTCAAACTAGCTGCTGTTGAAATTATCAAGTTATTTCAGCGTACAGTGATGGACAGAATGGTCGCGACACTTTTTTTTTCATGAGTTTAGGAACACGCATTTGGATTCAGGTTTACATTCCAAAACATTTTCTCGGGGGAAAATTTCACTTGAAAAATAGGTCGGAAACGCGCAAAATGGTTTCGGAATGGCCATCGAGCAAAATATTCCTCGGAGTAGATTTTGGGACGTAATCCTAGGTGCGTTCCGTTTCACGCATGATGCGTGATCAATTATCCTTCTTCATTATGCGTGAAACGGAACGCACCTATGATTACGTCCTAAAATCTTCTCCGAGGAATATTTTACTCGATGGCCATTCCGAAACCATTTTGCGCGTTTCCGACCTATTTTTCAAGTAAAATTTTCCCCCGAGAAAATGTTTTGGAATGTAAACCTGAATCCAAATGCGTGTTCCTAAATTCATGAAAAAAAGTGTCGCGGCCATTCTGTGCATCATTTATCCCTGTTATTCACCAAATGTTAAAGAAAGATAAATGGATGCACCATGCGCATCATGCGTGAAACGCACCCTCTGACGCACATTCCTAAACTCATTAAAAATATATATATATCGCAATCATCCTGTCTATAACTGTACACAGTACACACACGGTTTCCGGAACCGTAGTCACCCTCCGCCGTCTTTATCCTTCCGCTTCCTCATTTTGAGCTTTTCACGACCGACTTATCTATTTGCTTCGTTTTGTCGATATCGTGGTTTTGGTAATAGAACGCACGCGAGATTATCGAGTCTCTTTAAATTTTGCAAGTGGGACTTGCATGTCCCGGCGGTCGTGAAAGGGTTAATACTGGTGCGAGGATACGCGCGCCAGATCGGTCGAAGGGATCGTCTCCGAAGGCAGGCGGTGTGCGACGAGACTTGAAGAAAAAAAAGAGGACATGCGTAGAATTCTGATACTATATAGATACTACACGGAGAGAATTTTCTCTTAAAATTAACTTTATGAGAGTTCTTTGAAATTTTACCATACATTTTACCAGTAATTATACTTAAGATACATCTCACTGGTAAAATGTATGGTAAAATTTCAAAAGACTGCCATGAAATTCTCCGTAAATGCCATGCCGTCCCACGATTACACGATTTTCAGGAGAAATTTCAAGAGAAAATTTTCTCCGCATTTTGATACGAGGCACAACTATCGTCGGGCTTCATCGACGATTTTGAGAAGGAATCTCCGTGCCCTCGTTCTCACATTATTAAACAAAATATTACGAAACGAACTTCAAGAACCTGCAACTGTCCCTTCCTTACATTTTCTCGCAAAATCGCTGTTTGCCGTGTAGCTATCTCTCGCGTAATTACATGTCCGCACGTATAGACGAGGTGACGTTTACGACACGTGCATTACTCCGCATGGCGAAAGAGAAAATCCCTGATATAGGCCGGCTGTTGCCCAAACGGACAGACGAAATTAATACGATCGGCCATTTTCCCGGAGTCGATATATAATATGAGAAAGCGGGGATGCCGCTTCCCCCCCCCCCATGTCCCCCGTTTTCGCCGTTATCCGCTCACGTTAACGGCTCTATCGATCTCATTAACTGCCTGGGCACTCGCGATTTATTTTTATCGAAAGATATAGAGTATATATCCCGGAGTCGCCGCGTTTTCGTCCGGGCAAAAGTGGTACAAATCGGGAGCATCGCGAACGGGGCGGAAAAACTGGGCCAATCCCCGGAGGGGAAAGATGCTGGGACGGGGGGGTGTTCCCGGGGGAGTCTCGACTCCGGGGTACGAGGATAGAGTATGACAAAAGACGTGAGGACGAGGGAAGGATTTAATAAATTTCTCCGAAGGAGTCCACTAAGTGGGGTAAATCATACGGTTATTGGCCACTTAGGGGATATCTCTTTGTTTTTCCTGTTGCGCAATTATCGAGCGGTGTCCCCTGTCCCGTGTAATCCGCGATTATTGCGTTTCAATACTAATATTTGATATTTGATAAATATGTCGAATACTAATAATGATAGAAATACCGAATATTAATATATTTGACTCTTGATAGAAACGCGAAGCGCAAGTCACGGCTGCCGCAATCTGCACGGGCTTCATATTTAAAAGTACGCGGAGATAGATCGTTTAAATCTCAGATTATCACACGGGGGTCTCTTTGGGATTCAGGAAGCGTTTCTCAAATTTATTTCGTGCTTAGATATGATATTCGTGCTCCATATATTTTTTTTAATATCCGCATCAAGTAGAAACGTCCGAGGGAGGGCAACTCATGAAAATTCAGTGGACTTTTTGGAAGGCGGTTCACTTTTACAGGGGAAGTAAACTTTCAAGTACACATATCTATAATTCGACAATAATGCTCCTTCATTGTTGTATCTTGACAACGAAGGATCCCTTTCGATCAGTTCAAAAAAAAATCGAAGGGAAAGAGAGATTTATGCTCTGTTTAAAAAAAGCTCTCAATAACTACTCGTCGGAGGCAATAGACCGCCACTCAAAATAAAACGTGTTCCCTCTAATAAAAAGCATTGAAACTGCGATTCCATTTATTTAACAGTATCAATACCGTGTCCTAAAAAAAGAAAGGGTCGGAAAGGAATCACAATCGAATCGTGCCTAACGGGAGTGGCGGAGGGTGCAATCGGTCGGATTGCTCGTTGTGGCAATCGACCGCCTACGCGAACGGATTCCGCAAATAGCGACATCGCCCAAACAAAAACGACGCGCCAATCAATCTGTCGCGTGGTGTAACGCCGTGTCCTGAATAAGAAGCGGGTGATTTGCGCAAATTACACGAAGACTCGGCGGTTCACTCGGCCGAGGGCCTCAAGGGGTGGCGGCGGAGGCGGCACACCTGTCGATAATCCCGATAACTTTTTTTTCCAGAGAGCCTCATTACGTCCGTTCATAATCACGGATCTGGGACGACTGATGAATTTTCGACGTCTTTCTGCCGAGGGAAAGTCGAAGGAGCTATCATTAAAAAAATAACGCGATAAAAGCAGAGGCACCTTACATGGTTATAATCGGCGGGGAAAACGCTGAGGGCATTGTGGTGTACAGATTTGCGGCATTACTGGGCATTACTAGGGCATTTTTGGGGCATTATAAATATAAAATAAGATAATAAGATAAAGTAATGCCCACTGGGCATTAGTGGACATTGGTGTACAAGATTTTGGATAATTAATCTACTCAGTTAAAAAATTTGTGTTAAATTTAACAGACATGTCCCAAACGGTCGACACAAATTTTTGTGTTAATTTAACATAATATGGATATGTTAAATAATCACACTAATACTCTGTTAATATTTTAACACAAAATAAATGCAAATCTCAAAATAATTTAAAATAGATTGTGTGTAAAATTAACATATTTTTAATGACAAAGTGAATTTAAAAAATGCAATTTTTACATTTTACAGATGTAATAAGTCAAATGACGGTTCAAAATCACTCTCACTTATGTTATATAGAATAAAATCAACATTTTATTCTGTAAATTTGAACAGATAAATTTTGTTACTAATAGTATAGAACATATGTATGGTGTCAGATCAAAAAATAAGTACATCTTGTGTTGCTTTAACATTTCTTTTCGGTTATTTTAATGATTTTACATTTGAGGTCAATTAACACAAGAGCAATATGTTAAATTAACACATAAATGTGTTAAACATTTAACGCAAAAATTTTAACCGGCATTTTTTTTAACAAGAAAACACAAATTTTCCGACTGTG